CCCGCACCCGCCGGGTTTCCCACCCCCTGCGGCGGGATCAGGGGCCGCGCCGCGCCGCCACGGCTCTCCCAGCCCCTCCCTCACTTCCCCTCCCGCTCCGAGGCGTCTCTGCCGCCACTGCCCCCCCCCCCGCCAGGGCTCCGGTGAGGGGAAGCGGGCGGAAGATCGCGTCTACGGCCGAAACGCCGCGGGCTCTCGCCAGAACCCCCAGACCCCCCTCGCAGCCGCTCCTGAACCCTCTGAGGCTGCAGGCCTACTCCGGAACCTCCTCGTCGCCACAACGCCGCCGCTTCGGGCTCTCGCTCCATCTCTGCGCGGCCCCAACGGGCCCCACGGGCTGCCCGCTCTCTCCCGCCCCGTCTCCGGGACCCTTCCTTCGCTCCGCCAGGCCCTTACCCTTGGCCAGCGCCACGGTGGAGTTCTCGGTGTCGATAGTGTACAGGATCCCCTCATAACGGATCTCGGCCTTGGAGATGAGGCTGATCTTGCTCCCGATGTAGGGCGTCCCCCCGCTCATGGTGCTGCCTCCTCGGTCAGGGACCCCCCCCCTTCCCTGCCGAGCGCTCCCGAAGCCGTACGCAAACAACGAAACAAGCCCGGCTCAGAAACGTAGAATGCGCTCTTCTCCTCCCGATTCGAGACTGACTTTTCGCCGATCCTCCACCAACAGCTCTCCCCGCGCAGACTCCCTCAGCACACCGCGCACCAAAGCCGCCCAAAAGCTCCCAACATGGCCGCCGCCTTCATCTTCCCTCAGCGGCGCCCCCCCAGCTTCGGCCGCGAAATGGATGCCGGGAGCAGAGCAGATCTCGCGAGAAGCTTCAGGCGGGGCTGAGGGCGGGCGGCGCTGTTGGGTCCGCCCGCCTAATTACCTCAGAAGGGCTGAACGCTTTCGCGCGCTGTGTGCTATGGCTCCTTTGGCCAGTTGGGTCGACTGCACTTTCCCTGCCTGGCCCAGAGGTTGTGTGGTGACAGTTGTGTTTTTGCACTGAAATTCTACTAGCTGTGCATGTTGCAAAAGACACTTACACAAGCAAACCACTTACAGTGCGTTCTCTCAGAGATAGCCAAGTCAGCAGGCAGCGGAGAATTCCATCGCAAGAGATAAGGAAATTAGCTGAGAAAAACAAGTTAAAGGCTGAGAAACATCGATGGCAAATGAATTTCCTAAAAAAAAAAAAACAAGAAACTAAAGTTTGGTAATACAACTCTGCCTGTATATGGCTAGTAACAAGCTTTGTGTAGGTTGTGAACCTGAAGTACTCAGGCAGTGAGGATCCAGGAGAGGGAACTAGTGCCAGATGGTAGCGAATAAAAGATGATATTGCTCCCACAAGTGTGTTCCTGCTTACAGGATGCCTGGCATCGCCACCACAAATGAACTTACTTTGTATGAGACCTTGCCCTCAGAAGATTACTGAGACATTTCTTACATCAGGGAGCTTGTCCAGGATCCAGTCACTTGTTGGGGTTATCTCGCCACTGTAATCAGGAGAGGCGCACCCTGCTGATTTCAGTGGTCCTCTTGGAGGTGATGGGGTGACTTCCCAGCACAGCTGATGGAAAACTGAAGCTGTTCTGTTGAGAGGCAGACTCTGCGAAGTCTCAGGGAATTATAGGCACCAACATCGAAAATTAGACCCGGTATCTCTGTGCGCGGACCAAGGTAAGAAAATTAAAGTTTTGCCTTGGGGGTTGGGAGAGGCCCTTGCATAAAGTATGACTGAGACGTTAGTGCAAAGTGAATGTGGAGTTCCGATCCACGGTTCTGTAGCCAAGGTAGAACTGACAGTAAAGTCATGAAAGGTCTTAATGCCCTGCAGATATTACAACAATACAATGTATTCTGAGGATGTTGTGGAGGATGCAAGAGGTGTGTGGCCATGTAAAGTCAGTAGGAGGCAACTGCTGAAATCAGTATCTGCTCTATGTAATGCGTTTGATAAGAAAAATAAAGATACCTTTCCCATGATACCTTACAAGGCAAGAGAGTCTTGCTGACCACTAGAGGCCTGGAGCTGCTGCTCACTGTGTCAAAATAACAATGTCTTTTGGGAGGAGGTGGAGAGCCTAATCGCCATCGAGAGGATCAGGTTGTGTGTATTACATTTTTCCTGCCTCCTTACTGAAGGAGATTAATCAGCTTCAGATATGGGTGGAGTTTAGGGAAGGGTAAGGAAAGCTTTGGAAGAGTTTTCAGGAAAGACCTGTCCTCTGGCTGGAGATGCTGATCTAATAGCAGAGAGGGAAGTAAGTGGAATACACTGAAATACATCTGCATTCCCCAGATCCCCATTGGCTTTGCTTCTGGCCAATGTCTATTTCAAACAAAAAAATAATTAATGAAAGATTGTTTTTGAAGAGGTCAAATGAGGTGAGCACAGTGGTCTGTGATTTTCTAGGAGCTAAATATGTATGGAATAAAGTAATGAAGATGAAAGAGCAACAGATTTGTTCAGAAATATTTTCTATATTTTTCTATGATGAAAAGTATGTAAATATTTTTAAAAAGTTTTTTTTTATGATAAAAGAATGAATACAAAAGTTCACAGAGATCCTGTACTTTACTAAAACTCATGCTCCTTACATAGAAGTGCAAGCCCAGAGATAGATTCAGCAACAAGTTCATGTATATTCTTAACGTTATTGCTTTCTGACTTGTGAAAAGTCTGATGTCTTTCAGTACCATCAGTAGATGGTATTTTATTAAATAAAATATTGTATTATACTTCCTTATTGTGTGTTTATATATGTAAAGTGGCTAAATTAAGAAGAAATATGAATGAATTAATGTATTACAGATTATTCATCCTCAGATGTATTTAAGACTAATTAAAAGCAGGTCATTTTTGAAGTTTTGAAAGCTGTAGTATAAATCATGACTTGTAATTTTCTACTTCCAGCTGAAAGATTTACTTTTTATCTTCTGAAGTTACGTAGCAATAAAGGTTTCCTCTAGGGTGCTTTTTATGGAGACACGAGCTTAATGGCATAGTGCAGTAGAAAAATGTATGCTGAAACATTTTTCACAGTCAGGACTAGTAGGAGGATGTGTCTAACAGGACATTATTTTATAAAAACTGTGGAGACAGCAGTATGCAAACAAAGTGCAGGATAGGTCCTAGTGAGCAAAGAAAGCATGGAATCTTCTCTTAATTAAAAAAATAAGTATAACATGGGACTTTGAACAAAGTAATACTGGATAGATGTTGATAACTTGCAAACCCAAGTTAATATTCTTTATTTTTGCACAAGAGCAAAAGTGATAGTACTATAATTAAATTTCCAGATAGAAACATTTGTTCAAAGTCCAAATCTCACCTGTAGTATTCCATAGAAGCAACATTCATTTATCAACCAAATTTTTGATTTGTACTTTTCCTTGGTGTTCTTTCCTGGGTACTGTTTTTCATGTGTACTACTGTGCTTTTATGTGCACTTACTGCACAATTTCCCATTTGTACATCCCGAGCACTCCTTGACGCTGCCAGTTCTACTGGACACTGGTTTAACTTCAGGAGACATTTGAACTTCTCTTATTAAAGAGACACGACCTTGTTTGGATTTCTTAATGCATTTTAGATGTAGTTTATTTTGATTTATCATAAACCTGTTCCTAAAAGCATGAATGTGCAATCTGGAAAAACTACCCTGAATAAAAATATGTAACCCGGATGGTAACAAGTGATTAGCAGCTTAGCCTTTTGATTCCAGCCAGATCATATAGTGTATGGCTTTGGAGCTTGAAAATGGATTATCAGCTGTGTGTGTGGGTAAAGTGAGACCATCATTCTTTTCTACGAGTTCACTTTGTGCTTAGGTAGGTTATTTGCTGATATGCGTTTTTCAGTTTGGGGGAGAATCATAAAAAAAATCACCTGAAAAAATGAGAAAGTGAATCACCATTTCAGGCCACTGAGTAGCAGACCAAATGCATCCAACTTTGCTATCCATGCTATCATAGGTCAGCAGACAGCCACTGGAATCCAAGCTGTTCTCTGCTGTCAGCTTGAAAAATACATGGTGGTTATCACTTGTGTGCGAGAACAGATGTAATGAATCGTGGAAAATGATTATACATGTGGGCAAAATCACTTTCTCTGCAGGTCCCGTGAAATAAACTGCTCTGTCATTTGTCAAAGAAATTACAGGTTTGAGCTACCGTTTTCCACTTGGAAATTTCCAAATGCATGAACAAGCAGTAATGGAAGAAGCGCATATAGAAAAGCAATGACAAAATCGCTGGAAACAGAATGAACTGCCTCAAATTTCCAGTGGGGATACTAAGGGAACAGCGTGAGGGCAGCTACTGTGATGATGCAGAGAGCATTCTGGTAACAAGCCTTCTGATAACAGTGAAATGCAGGAGTTTCGGACACAAAAGCTTTAAAGCAGACACAACAGCCTGCCCGTATCAGGACTTCCAGCAGCTGCAGTAGCACTTACGTTGCCGCCTTGGAACAAATGCCTGCGTTGGGCTGCTGAGCCATTCTCGCAGCCTGTCTGTTTTCAGTTCTCGCTAAGAACGACCTGCTGCCTGGGATTGTTTTCACGAGGAACGAATGACTTGAAGGCAACGCACACGGTTATGACAGCTTTGCAAACGCCAGGTAACGCGATCGCACGACACTTCATTTCACAGCGTGCAAACGCACGGCGCTCCGAGCCGGCTCGGCAGGCTTTCCAACGCTCTCTGCCGGGCATCAAAAACTCCGCACCGCCGAAGTGCTGCCGCCCGACGCTCCTTCACGCAGCGCCCCCCGCCCACACCGGGCAGGACACCAGGCCCTGCCGGCCAGGAGCAGCGGGAGCCCCGCGCATCTCGGCGAATATTCCCCGACTCCGAAAAGCGAGCTCGAAAGCGCCAAGCCGCGCCAAGCCCGGCGTTCCGCCCGCGCCCTGCGAGCGCCCGCCCCACGGCGAGGGGAGGAGGAAGGCGGCCCCTCCCAGCGTGCCCCGCGCGCGACAGAGGCCGGCGCGCCTGCGCGCTGCGCGGCCGGCTCCCACCTCAGCGCAAGATGGCGGCGGGCGCCTCGGACCCCCTGGAAGAGATGCTGCTCTTCTCCGAGGAGGTGGACGAGAAGGCGGTCAGCGACCTGGTGGGCTCCCTGGAATCGCAGCTGGCCGGCGGCCGGGGCTCGGCCGAGGCGCCCCAGCCCAGGACCTCCGCCCCGTCCCAGCAGCAGCAGCCGCAGCAGCAGCAGCAGCAGCAGCGCCAGGGCAGCCTGGCGGGGGGCGGCAGCCCCGTCCGGCAGCAGCAGGGGCACCCCGCGCCTCCCCCCGCTACCGGGGCGGAGGAGGCTGCGGCGGGCCGTCCCGGAGCCGCGGAGAGCCGAGCCCCCGCCCCGGGGCCGCTCCCGTCCCCGTCTCCCCCGGCGGCAGCGGCGGCGGTAGCGGCGGCGGCGGCAGGGCGGGGAGTGAGTGTAAACAGTAGTAGTGTGCAGCAATCACATGGAGCGGCTCTGCTCGGCGGCAGCCCCGCCGCCCCGGCCCCGCCGCAGCCCGCCGCACCCCCGCCCGCCCCGCCTGTCAACAACCATGTGGCCGCCGGCACCGGCTCCCGGGACGCGGGCAGCCCCAGCCCCGGCCGCAGCCCGCCCGCCGCGGAGCCGCCGCCGCGCAACGAGGCCGCGGAGGGGAGCGGGGCGGAGGGCGGCGGGCGGGCGGCGACGGAGGGAGCCGACGCCGCCGAGCCCGCGCCGCTGCCCGGCGAGGCGGCGCCCAACGGGGAGGGAGCCAGGGGCCGGGCGCCGGCGGTGCCGCCAGTCAGCGGCCGGCAGAGCCCGGCCGGCAGGGAAGGCGGCGCGGCGCAGCCCAAGCCCGCGCACGGCCCGCAGCCCGCAGTAAACGCGCTCGGCAACTCCGCCAGCCCCGCGCCCGCCGCCACCCCGCCGGGACCGGGCTCTGCCGCCAAACCCGCGGGCGTCGCCAAGCCGGGCGCTGCCCTCCCCGCCGCTTCGCAGGCGCTGTCGCCGCGGCCCGCGCTGGGTGCCGCCCCGAGGCTCGTGGCCCCGCAGCTGATCGTCAGGCCGCCGCAGCAGACCACCATCCAGCTGCCGCCGGGCTTCACCATCCCGCCCGGTAAGTGGGGCGGCCGGGACGGTTGCGCGGCTCTCTGCTCGGCCTTTCTCTGACGGAGCTTTTTCAAAGCTGGCGTTTTCCCGCTGCTCCGCGTGTCTGAGGGCGAGTCCTGGCCGACTGGCTGGTGTGAGCGAGGATGTGGGTTGGCTTAGGGTGCTTTGCCGCTGGTGCAAAGTAGTTGTGCCTCTTGTTTGGCGAGTACTTGTTTCCTCTCCTTGGGAGAGCGGTGGTCACGGTAAGTTATTTTGTAACTGTGTAAAAACAGCTGTGCACCAGAACAATCTGGAATGCGTTAACCAGGAATCACGTCTCTCTTGAAGCACTCTGCAATCTGCTGTACTCTTGATATGGAGAAAAGTTTTCTGTTTTCAGAGAGTGCCTTCTGATGGGCACCAGGTGACTATATCCACTATGCAGTCTGGTTTAATGTAAAGTTCTTCCTTTTGGTGTGTGTGACTGTGTCACTCCTTCCTGGGTACTCACAGCCTTGCCATCACTGCATTTTGTTTCCAGCCCTGAAGAAGCCCCTGTGTCCTGCTTGTTCCCTCTTAGTTTCTTGGTGTTGTTTTGTAAAGATGCAAGTTTGGCTGATGAATTAAAGCAGCATCCTGGAAATTCCTACTTCACCGCGTACTGCCTTACCTAAATGTTCCCAGGGTCGCGGTCTGTGCTCCCATGCTTAGATTGCAACATTACAAAAAGTTGCTAAGTTTGTTACAGATCTAGGAGATACATTGACATTTAATTTATTTTTTTTTTCTATTGATGCTGACAGTGTGATACTACCTGGAGATACTGATATAATCTGAAATAATTTATTTCTTTCACCATGTTTCTTTTAATAGCTGTTTTTTGTTAGCCAAGATAAATAGAGCAAAATGCAATAGAAGTGTGCTTCTGGGTGTGCTTCAGTAGATGTGTATTTGACTGCAGCTTATGAAACTCCCGCTCCAAATTCTGATGCCCCAGTTGGATAAAGCTCAGTGGTTTCATGAAGACCTGACTAACTCAAAACTAGTAAGGGGTTACTTTAAAAATGTGTGGCTATATTCCAATTATATTGTTAGCTTTAGCCATTGATTTCACATTTTTAATATGGTTGATAAATACTAAAAACCTGTGATAAGTTGTAGCATGACTTTGTATGAAGTTTCTGCAGCTTATTGCCTTTGTTCTGCTATGTCGTTTTTAAACAGAAGGGGAAAACAGAGCCCTTGAAAGCGATCTTTCAGAGGTTTAGGACAGTTCTGGAAATAATAGTGTGGAAAATGTATCACTTGAATTTAATTTTGTTACTAGGTAGCTTGAAATCCATTAAATTTGCATTAACAGAAGGATAGCATGTTCGAAGGTTAAAAGTAATTCAGAAAATACATTGTTATTTTTGATTAATTACTCTAAGTTTGTGCATCATTATTAAATGATACTGAAACTCTCCTATTGTGATCTTCTGCCTATCGCAGGAGTTTAGAATGAGTTTATTTTAGTAAATAATACTGATTAGCATACAATAACCAGCACCAGTTCTCGCACTTCATACCAGCTCACGAGTTGGATCTTTTCATGGCTGACAATAAGGAAAAATTAATCTCCTTGTTTAACTCAGTTCTGAGAATCTGACCACTTCCTACATGCTGCAAAATAAAAGAATTTTCAAGTCCTCAAAGCTGGATTAAAATATAAAATTGCTGCATGAACATGTATGCGTCTGTAGAAGTAGTTATATCTGCAAATTGTATTGAAACCGTGTGGCACGTGTTGCAATTAATTTGTCCATTCTGTTCATTTTTTTTAAATTCATATTGAATTTTACAAGGTTGAAAAAGTAATTAACAAGACAGATGTGAATTGGTGTAACACCAATAGAATGTGTGTTTTTGTTTTTGTTTTTAATGTGTGGTATGCATTGTCCTCTAAGGATTTTTATATTAGGTTCACGACACTCAGAGGAATGGTATCTGTTCCACACACTGGAGCAGTGTATTAATATTTGTTTGTCCAGAACAGCAGATATCGAATACATCATCTGCTTATGGGGTTTTCTACAAACCATTAGGTCTGGTGCTGGAAGGGCTGATGCACCTAGAAAGTTACCTTTTTAAGATTTGTTGTAGTTGTTGAACTCTTCTTTTAAAATTACTCATTGGGCTTTGAGAGAGATGTGATTGTATCCTTTGGATGAGGTCCTCACAGTAGCTCTGTATGCTTTTTACCTTAAAACTCGATTCCCACAGCTCTTCAGTTCCTAGAGGCAGAAATGTGTTTTCTGTTTGTGATTTTTGTAGTGAAGGTGGCTGGGAGCACCCAGGACTCAGTGAGTGAGGGCTTCTATTGCAGCTGCAATTCAGTTGTGTTCATCATGGGACTGGGCTCTGTGTTTCTATGTCAGAGACTGAAAGAAAGGTATAGACTGCTTCTGAATTTGGTTACTTGCTGGATATAATAGTGCTCAATATGTTTCAAAATCTATTTACTGAGGGTTTTTGTTTGTTTTTCTGGGAAGCTAATACTTAGAAGCGAGTATATGTTTTTACTTTCTTTATTTTCCCTTGCAAAGTTATGAAATGCATATGAAGAAATCTGTACATACAGATAAGTTGCAGGAGCAACGTCACCTGGCTCTGTTGTCAGCAGAGTGAGAGAGATTTCCTAGACTGTGAAAGACCTGCTCCTTTTTGATAGTACATTGTATCCTACTCACATCTAGGTTAGATTACTGGGATGTATTCTGAGACTAACTTGAAAACTCTTTTATATAATGTATCTGGAGAACAGCTTCTTAGTTCTGACTGAACTAGGAAAAGCACATTACGTGCTTGCAATGATCTGAAATAAGTGCAAAAGTTCAGGTGATCCAGGGGCCAGCTTAGCCATTGGGAGCTCCTTCTTGACCTGCTGATAGTGGAAAACCAGGACATTAAGGGCAAGTCTGGATGGCACCGAATGGATGTGTAGAAGGGCTTTTATTTGTGAAGCGTATTATGAGAAAATAAAAGTATTTTAATTTACATTCAGAAAGTACTCTGTTCATTTAAAACAATTCCTTGGATTTTTTCCTCAAACACCTGTGCTTCTAATTATGTTGGGCCTCTGGGTGTGACAGTATTTTTTCTTCATGCCCAAACCTCCCAGTACAGTGATGGTAGGTGCTGAATGAATTCATGTATCAGAGCTCAAACATTAACTAGATCTCAAATATTGTATACTCAGAAATGTGTCTGGCTTAATATTTGCGTCTACACGTTCCCTAACACTGTTGTTTTAGTAAAGCTCTCATGTCATTGTCCCTGGTATGTGCAAACCGAATGTTGTTCTCAGCAACTAGACCGTTGTTACAGTTTACTTTAGTGACTATTTATTTCAAGTTTTATTCTCCAAACCTTTGCTACATTTCTGTGCATCACTGCACACCTATGTGCTCAAGTTATTATTTGTTTTGGTCACCATAAACTATAGGTGTTTGAATTTCAAACTAACTTGAGTAGTTTTTGTCTGCTGGTGGGAGCTCCTTTTCTTCATTGAAGTAAAATCTCATATTGCACCCCAGTAAAAAGAAAGTACAGGATAAAGAAAAAGGGACAGTACTGTTGTTTTTATTCTGTATTTCACAGTTATGTGATTCCTTATAATTTGTGTTATTCTTTATTCTATAGTTACTGTCACTTTATTCTCACTAGGCATGGTCTTGGTGCGCACAGATGCTGGACAACTTGTGATGGTGCCTCAGCAGGCTCTAGCCCAGGCGCAGATGCAAGCTCAAGTGCAAACACAGGGACAAGGTCCTACCAGCATTTCGCCTCGACTTTCAGTGCCCACAAGCGGCCCAGTTTTTCGCCTAACAACAACTCAGGTATGTCTGGCTCGATTTCACCTTGCTTTTGTGTGTTTTGTTTTCCTCTGTCTTGTACATTATCAGTTCTTTGACAAATGTCAAAGTGCTTCTCATGCACACACTATTTTTTTTTTTTTTTTTAAATTGACAACCAGGAAATACTTATTCAAATACAGTTTATTTTCAGTGGCTTGATTTTTTTTTTTTCTCTTTTTTTTTTCCCCCAGAAAAATCTACTATGCAGGTATTTTCAGGAGCCTTTTTGGGCTGTGAGTTTATTGAAAGTCAGAAGGCTCAGTCTTAGACAGAAATTAGTTTGGAATGTGTGCCACTGACTTAGTAAATGACTTTGTTCTCTCTCTGAATCATTGTGATATTCCAGCACAGTGAATGGATGTACGTGATCATTAGATTTCACTAGAAATTAGAAAAGAAAAAGCAAAGCATGTTCTATGCCAGAATTCACAGTAGTTAATTTTTTGTAGTATACTTTATTTGGGAGAACGATTTGATTCCTCTGGTTCACTTCTGTTTTATTTTTAAGGATGAAAGTGTGGAGTTTGTTTATTTATTTATTTTAAATTACTTTGTAAACTTTTTTTGTTTAAAATTCTGTAAGGATGGTGTTCAGCTTCAGACTATGTATGGCCAGTTCCTAACTATCTTACTAGAAATGTAGAGGTCAGCATCATCAGATGTATAGCGCTGTTGTGCTATGATAATTACAGACAGAGTGAAAGGTAGCTGTGACTAAGTTCATTGTTTATTAAAGAGATAACTCGGAATGAAACTAGGTGAAAAATACGCCTCTATAATTTTTGATTGATTGTTGTGTAGCTTGCTTGAAATATCTTAAATATGTATATTAATATTTCATTGCTGTCCCATTATATGCTTTGTGTTTTACGTCATGTTTGTAGTTTAAGAGATTGTTTAGTTAAAAACTAAAAGCAATGGTAAACTTTTCAGAAGAGAATAGAATTGCACAATTGAAAATGAGGTAATCTAAACCATAGAATAGCCAAGTAAAATGCAAGTTTTAGATGTGAATGTAATGGGAATATTGTGTAGCTCAACAGAATGTATCTCAAGAAGAGATAAAAGCCTGGAAATGTTTGAAAAACTTTATGCTGTCAGAAAAAAGGGTAAGTGCAGTATTAGATGGAATATTGGAAAAGAACTCTGCAAGAAAGGCAGCTGGTTAATATCTAAATTTGCGAGATCTGGAAGGATAAGAAAATTTGTAAAAATCCTTCAGAGATAAATATGAGATGTCAGGAAAATAAATACGGTGACAAATAAATGCGGTGACAAGCCTATATTGATTTCCACTTTTTTTTTTTTTTTTTTTTTTTTTTTACTAATTTGACACACAGAAAAATCTGGGCAATGTTCATTATTTAGTTGTATGTCTGTTATTGGTTGTTTGCTTTCTTGTTTTGTTTGCTTGCTTTTAAAATAAATGCACTACTTATTATTGATTGCGACAGAATATACAGGCAACACTCTAGCAACGGATTCCAAGATGAGTGTATAGCATAAATGCATAACAGATCATGGGGTGGGACTGCATCAAGAATATGACCTCAGTCTGTTAAAATGAGTTAGGTTTAGTTGGTTTGGTTTCATACTGTAAGTTTTTGTGCAACTTTAATTGCTGTGGGTAGCATTCAGAATTAAAATTCAGAGTGGAAACATTCATAGGAAATTACACATTAGTGAATAGTCTGTTGTTTGAGAACATATGAGGAGTACATCTTTATTGTACATAGAATCTTATGACAAAAATGCAGTTCTGCTTGGCTGCATGTGTTCAATCTTTATTAGAAGATTGGAATTTGTATGTGTGCACAACAGATGTTGGGAGTTGATCATATTGGCCTCAGGCAGGTGTTCTCCAGTTATACGAAGCTGTTAAGATTGTGGAAATAGTGTAATCTGACGTGCTGGGTTTTTGTAAAGATTAAGCTCTGAGGATACTGCATGTTCATGTGGTGGTAGAGATGCTAAAAATCTAAGGGAGCTAGTTCTAGTATTAGGACGATGTAGTTGTTTTTCTGCAGGATTCTGACCAGCTAGATAACCTGCAGAGCATTAAAGGTATTTCTTTATACTTATTAGTGTTAATTAACAGATTGAGAATAGAGGTGAACAGTGCCTTAGGAATGGTAAACGTCTTACAGCACACAATAGTTTGGGTATTTTTAAGGTGGTGGGATTTGAATCATGGTATTGTAGCCAGTCAGGATTCATCTGCTTTGGGAGATCTCTGTAGTCGCTGCCCAGGCAGTACTGCATTTCTTTAATTGTTGTCATTAAGAAAGATAAGAAATATTTAATAATGTCCCTCAAAAATACACATTTTTGTACAATAATGACTCTGGTGTGTTGACTCTTTGATTTTTACAGTGCTTATTGTATATGTGTTTGACATTGAAATGTAATTTGAAGATAATCACTTGAGGCATTTCAAAGCCACACTAAAAATCTAAATTCTAAAGGTTTTATCATATCAGAACTAGATATTAGACTTTCATTTGGTCAGGTGAAAGTTTATAACTAGAAGTGTTTGGAGGCAGTGTCCAGTGATAAATTCTATGCTAAGTTTTTGGAAGTGTCAGTTGTTTGAGTAGTCATTCTGGTTAGCCAGGAAAAAGGATGAAGTGCTAAAATGCAGAGAGTTGTATGTGCTGAATAAGAATTCATCCAGTGAGTAAGTACTCAAAGTATTTTCTAGGAAATCAGATCTTACTACAAAGAACATGTTAGTCAATGTCTACTTCATAGCTTCTCTGTTTGCTTTTCTTTAGTTTGTACTGATTTCTAGCCAGCGTCAAACACCAGCTCAGTAACTGTTTTCAGTGTTACTGATGTAATTTCTATATACACGTTAAGTAATTATGTTAAGGAAGTATGTTATGAGCTACGTAGTTAGATATAAAATAAGGGTTATTAAATTATCTCACAAAGAAATTGTAAAATCTGGTAGTTAGCTTTGGCAACTCATTGAGTGCTGAGAGTGAGAGCTGCAGAATATAAAAGGAATGACTTTAAAAATAACAAGAAAGATGGTCTGCAAAACTAACAGTGTGTGCCTCTGAAATTGGAAGCTCTGTGAATCTCTTTCCTCTCAAAAAAAAAAAAAAAAAAAGGTGGCGAAAATAAATAAATGTTTTAAGTGTTCTTAAATTGAATTGACTTAATCAATACATACAGCTATACAGACTCTGGGCTACTTCTTTAGCTTGGTAATGTATCAAGATTTCCTTCCTGTATCCCAGGACCATTATTTGATATTCTTCTCCCCGTTGTTTGGGAGAGAAAATTCCTGTGACTTAGGAGCCGTGCTTACATCCAGGACAGTCTATGAGGAAAGAGCCAACTTTCTGTAGGAGTAGCAGAAGAAAGCGTAGTTTAATTTCCCTCAGGATTTAGCATATGAGCTTAGCATAACTCTTTCCTTTGATTAAAAAACAAGCATGTGTTGCCTTGCTGAAGGCTCAGAGCTCAAATATCTCCTCCATATAAGAGTATTTTCCTCCCCAGGTAGAAAAGTAAGCATTGTGATTGCCGTGTCAAACAGAAAAGTTCGGGAAAATTGAGACACACAATTTCCCATTCATCCTACGGTAATCTCTTCTTTAACTGTGCACTGAGTTACAGTCCGTGATAAATGCACAAAGATAAAGGCATCAGCTAGACCAGGCACATCATTACTGCAATTACTGTTGCATTGCAAACTTAAATTTGGTGTTTCTTTCCTCTGGAGTGCTTGGTTTTCCTATTTATGTTACTTCTTTTGATTATAGGAACTTGAATCCATTTCTGTTAAAATTCTGGAAACTGGCGAATCAGATGAGCAAGTACCTTGTAGAAGAGGTCTCAATTCTGAGTAGTTTAATGCGGAGCTTAAAGGCTGTAGAGAATGGGAGTGTCACAAAAGCATGTGCGATGTGTGAAGGGCAGTCAGAAGTAGTGGAATGGATTCAGACTGAAGAATCAGCATTTGAAAATAACAGAATAGTACAGAGAAAGCAGTTGTGGAGACAAGTACCTGTAATATGAAGATATGTGTAATATTTCAATGATCTTTCTGAATTTGCATCTGTGTGGTTTCTTTAAGTAAGAATTCAAGAAAAGCTTGAAACTGTACATTAAAATAATTTCAGTTTAGATCGATAATAAGGTTGTATATGACTGCGAGAGGGATATTAACTACAGCTAACTACACTTTTTTTTTTTTTTTTTAAAAAAAAGGGAAATTATATGTCCAAATATTCAGATGTAGATATTCAGATGTAGAAAAACAAAACTTTTTTTGGTTTAGGAATACAATTCGTCTTGTAGGTATAGCTGGCAGAACCTTATCTTTTTAAAATATCTTGTGTTTTACCAGGAAGAACTTACTCTTATGAAGGATTATTATGAACTTTTGATGCATTAAGAAGTTACACTGTGAATACTTTCTCACTGATAATGCTTGTTTGAAAAAAGCATATAACAAGATGATACGCTTTTATAGTGAATATTGGTTTGAATTAACAGTGAATAATTTTCTTTGAATTTTTTATTTCTACACATTTGTTTTAGTTTCCTTTTGGTTTTGATCAAAATCTTTTTTTTCTGCATATGAAATCATTAACACTGGAGGAACTCTACCTGCTGTATGACCTTAATTAAAACAATGTGTGACGAATGAGCTATTATTTGATGGAACCTCAGTTGTCTTAGCAAAAAAGTTTGCTGTAGAGTCTTCTACTACAAGTAGATCAAAAAAGCACAGGTTTACTTGCATCACTGTATATTTCAGAGATGAAAACTTTTCCAATTATTATTTAGTTTGCTACACTTATGCCTCCATATCTTGTTTGGAAGCCTGTGCTTGTAAAATTATGAAAAATGAGTAGGTGCTGCCATCTAGTTTTTCTCTGGTGAGTTTCTTTTGTTTATCTACATTTATACAGCTGATGGTTTTTCATGCTTATGATGTGGCACATACTTGTTTGCTGGTTTTCAGGACCCGTTAGTTCTATTTTCATAACCAAAAAAGGAGAAACATGAATGTTTCAATTAAAATTATTTGAAGTTAGTTACAAAATTAAAGTGCTTCTGGACAGCAAGAAGAAAGAAGTGAGCATCATATAGAGAAGAGCAGTGTTAAGCAGCAGCTTGGCCTTCACCATCATAAGTTCTCAAGTTGTTGGTGTTTGAGAAACTTTTCTTGCTAAAGCTGAGCCTTTCAAATCTGAGATAGTTCTGATGATACACTTCACCTGTATTTGTATTTCTGTTCTTTTACAATTTTGACTTTTTTTTCTGGTTTCTGTATTTATTTTTTCTGTTTTTCATATCCCTCCTGTTTATTTTACTTCTTTGAAGTAAGTTGTAAGCAAATTGAGAAGTCTTTGTTATTTCCTGAAGTGCGTTAACTTTATTATCATATTAGCCATCCCATAGTATTTTTGTAGAGACAGTTTTGAGGCTTGTACAGAATTCTGGAAAAGACATTTGTGTTAGCAGGGCAGGTAGGCTGAAATGCCAATATCTTGGCTGTGATTTGGCCACAAAACCATTTTCCTTCCACGCATTCTACTGTTTACCTTTTGTAGAGTTAACATACAATTTTTCAACTTCTTAAAGTGTCATGCCTATAGAACACCCAAACATTAGTAAGGCTTTAAAATTAAGCTTGCAAAGGCTAGGAAATGCTGAATTCCTGAACAGTGCAGTGGTGGCTCCCATATGCATGTGCTTTTTACTAGGTGGTCATGTTACTATTTTTCTTAATTTTTCAAATGTTCAAAAACCTTGTGAAGAATTATGTGATATTTTCTTCCTCAGCTGTTCGGTGGCTTGCTTTAGGCTTATTTGCTGCTTAGTTTCTAAGCATCTTTTTGAAGCGGGTATTAATTACTAAACAGGGTTTCTTTTGCAATGCTTACCCCTACAATAACTTTCTCAACAATACAATCGAGGGGATTATTAGCCTCTTTTTATAAATAGAAAATAAAGACATTAAGTGAATAATTAAATATACTGGTTAACTTTTTGTGTTTGATTTAACTTCATTGTCTCCAGCTGCAGCCATGACCACACCAAGTCACTAACTCTACTTTTCAAGTTGTGCACTCATGTGTATGGCACAGGAGAATTCACACTAGGTTATCTGTATTTGCATGCAGTAGAATATTTGTGCAGCATCACCAACACAGTGCCACTGAGGTAGGAGTAGAATCTAACCTTAGAGCTAAAATTTACCTACTTTTTACCCACCAGATTCTTTGGTTTGCTGTGCCTCCCCTCATGCCCTACTTATATTTTGTGTTTTTCTTTCTTTCCTTCTTTTTCTTTCTTTTTTCCTTTAAGTGAATTCCTGCAGTGGTGTCAGGTGAGGTCTGTGTCTCTTAGTAGTGTTCCTTAACACTGGCACCCTAGTGTACATCAGGAGGTGGTACAGAATACAACTATACCACCAACTTTTTTTTCAGAGGTTTACTGACATCAGTGTTCTAACCTGTGGCAGTTTGAATGGCCTTGATTTTAAAGAACTGCAAGTACACAAGGTAATCCCCAAAGTTTGTGTTGTCCTGCCTTAGCAGTGGCAAATATTTCCTGTGTAATTCAATGTAGTTTTTCAATATTCACGTGGCCTGCTTTTTCAAATGCACCGTTATGATTATTCCTTCAAATATAACAGCAGCTCATTTGTGCACAGCAGGTACAAAGCAGTTTGCTCCTGTTTATGCCTTGAGCTTTGCCTTGCTACTTTGGTGTCGAGAGAGCTGGTGAGAAGGTCTACATAGCAAAGTTAAGTTATTTAAGGAATGAATTTGCAGTACCCAGAATAATTCCACACTGGCTCCTTCCATGAACGATTATAACGTGCACTGACTGCTTCTGTGGAAGTGACTTAATGCACCCTGGAAGTGAAGTAACTTGAGTTATCTGCATGATTTGTGCAGACAGAAAGAATCTTGGGACATTCATCCTCCGTGCTGGCCAGATCCATTTGAAATCCATGCTTCCAGGTCTACACTGTGCTGTGCCCTGCTTAAAACAGTTAACCTCTTTGCACGGAAAGAGCCAACTCATGTCTGCACACAGAAGGCTATCTTAAGTATTCTCAAGCGTCCCTGTGGAGATCTGTAATGGAGTATTCATTCATGTCCTGGTTTCTTTGCATGTTAATTTACAGGTGCAGTGGAAAGGCCTCTTAAACATTACATTTATATATTTAGGAAGCACAAAACACATGATGCATCTGTTAAAAAAATAATACAGCTACATTTGAAAATACATCCCTTTCTTGGTCTTGGTTAGTAATTTTAGAATTTAATTACTCTAATACCAAACCTTGTTGCTCTTTAAAGATCATTGCAAAATCTTTTATGTTCCTGCAGGAGCTTGATACATTGGTTTATGATTTTCTTACTTAGCATTGATAGTTTTTGTGGGTTTTTTTCCCCATATATTTCCCTTGACTTTTATTTACAGTTTTCCCTTAATAGAAAATACAGCTGATAACTTCTAAATTGTGATTATTTTACTAGATCTTGTTGATGTGTTTCTGTTGGGAGTTCTTACAGTGTCTTCTGGCAACTTATAGTTGTCATTTTAATACAATTTTCATGATACTTGCAAATAATGTTGGGAAATTCTGCTGTTTCTGATCCACTCATTTCACATTTGACTTTTTAATGTATTTAAGATTTGGAACCATGGTAGTAAAAAGTTGCATTGATTTCTTTGTAGTTCTTTGGTAGTAAGGCTTTTTCTTCAAGTCCAACTCATTAATAGATTTTATTGCAACTTTGTTCCAAAAGCTATTGTCACTAGTGATTTTTAAAATAGGATGCATTTAGTCTTAGCATTTCACAGCTCTCTCATGTGGTCTGGCACGGTGGAGAATTGTGTATGGAATATGTTGCACACTTTCATAACACACTATTATGGTACTGAAATTTCATGTTTTAATTATATGTGATTTTTTTTTTTTCCAGAGCATATTCTTATGATGAATTGAGAACATTTATTAATTGAGGAAAATTCTGTAGCGAGTAGTCTGAGCTATGTATATATTTACAGAGTTCTGACTGCAGATCTTTCTTGGAACTGAGTGATGGCAGAAGTTTGCCTGGTTATCTCTCTTCTTTGTAAATCCCCACTTCTGTAAGCAGTCACTGACAAGAAGGGGGCTGACAGCATAGGGATTTTTAGCTCAGAAACTGATCATAAGCAAATGAACAAGATATGCAGTATTGATATTTATAAAGGCAAGCATTCTTCAGTTTCATGTGACCAGTGAAATTGAAGCTAGTGGTCTTTTGTACAATTGAGAAAAGAAATATTGCATTTTAAATCCTAAGAAGCATTTATGATAGTTCTTCTATAAAGACACACAATTCTACCTATTTGTGATGATGCTGTTTATTGCCTCTAGGCCACCCTAGCATGGAACAAATCCAAACTCAAGAAAGAAAAATCTTGAGTGCTATCCAAAGAAAGGAAAACAGAAATAGACAAAAAAAATTACTTTTTTTTTTTCCTCAGATATCAGGTAGATTTTTAAAATTTATTTATTCCCCCAAGTACAGAAGATAGATATCCAGTAGCTGGTGTTGCTGGACTGATTGGTATATTCACCTGAAAATAAATATATATATTTTTTGCTGTCTAAACTTTCTCCCAGTATTAATTTCCCTTTAGAAAAAATCATAGGAAAAAAAAATGTATATAAAAAGAAACAATATGTGTTCATGCCAATTTGAAACTCATGTGTTGATGAATAATTACATGTAATTATTACATATAATTAATAATTAAATTGCTTATATTTCCTTTATTAGCAACCGACTTCTGTAGCCACATCTACTGTCCGCCTTGGACTTCCAGTGCAAGCCAAAGTTGTTCAGTCAACTGCAACACCTGTTAGTGCTACAGCTGCTGTGACTCTGCCAGGAGGCTCTATTCTTTCACATACCACAGTAAGTACTGAGAATATCAAAAGCAAAAGATGGAATAAGAAGTTTTGTTTATAATCATTTGGTTTACCTAATGTGAATTTTAATGAGAAATGTTAATATGTTTATTTTTATTACAAGCATAAAAACCAGTAGTGAGTTGATCATCTGTCTGTTTTATGCAGGTGTTGGATGATAGCCTGTATTTTATTTTGCTGTTTCCTAGCTAATAGAAAAAAAAAAAGGGTAGTATAATTTCTTTTTTTTTTTTTTCTTTTTTAAAGTAAAAAATCAGTTGGGCTCTTTAGTGTTATTTCAGTGGTGGACTCGTAGCACTAGGTTTGTCCCCTGTTGAGAACAGTGTTGTCTATGGCTGTGTGGACACCACCGCCACAGTGTACACCATGCCTCGCAGTGCAGGTGCCTGGGTCAGCTTGTTCTGTGTCTGTGCCAAAACTCTGCAGGTAGGTTGGATCAAGAAATTCTAATAGGTTCTGCTCAGCATGCTATGCTGCCTGGCTGAGCTCTCTAGTTTCTGCAGTGCCATTTGGTGTGTCAGTTTGAGACTTTTTGGCACTGGGAAGGGTGGCATATTTAGTCAGATCATGTCAATGCTGAACTGAGTGTGTGTGTATGTGGTGCTCTGTTCAGCCTGATTTTCCAGCCTTCTGAGATTGAGGACGGTGCTGCAGGATCTTTACATACGGCCAAGCTACATCAGAGACAGTTCTGTTTGCAAAGGCTAAAGCACATATGCAGCCCTTGGGCTCAAATTAGGTTGTGAAACTGTGGTGATGCATTTGTGTAATCTGGATCTGAGCTGTAACTGTGGTATAGAGCATTGTAAACCTGATGACATGATAACAGATCATTGGGAATTATCTTGTTTGTGTCAAGGGACAAATCTACAAAAAGCTGAGGTAAAGAAGTAACATCAGAACAATCATCTTAAAGGACTGGGTAATAACAACTCATTTTTAGTTGTACATTGATTTTTTTGTAGTAAAAAGAAATTTAGATGAGATTGACTTCAGTGTGGCTAAATGGTAACAAAATTAGAGTTATAATAAAGTTAACATTTTTGTTTTGTCAGTAAAGGTGTATTTGAAAGGAAATAAATTTTCTTGTCAGACTTCTAAGAACTTTGTGGTTGGGTGAAAGATTTAAAAGAATGACTTGTTTTCCAACATAAAATACTTGTAGGTGTCAGTAGCTACAACAAATGCTCAAAATTTGTTCAAGACTACAGTATCAACGGGAACACCAACATCTCAACAGCCTGCAGTAATTACTGGTGGACAAACTCAAGCTGCAGCACAAAACCAGAGTCAGCCTCGGCTCCCACTTCCACCTCATACAACAGCACAAGTGCCAGCACAGCCCCAAGTCATACCAAGCTCTCCTGTACCTGGAACTACAGTTGTATCACAGGTAAGTATTAAAATATTAGTCATTTGGTTTTTATTAACTTAGTATTTTATGAACTTCTCGGATCTATTCAGAAGTGGAAAATTCCATGCAAGCCTACTTCCCGTGATGAAACAGTTATGTTACAAAACAGAAGCCCTTCCACTCATTTCAACTAATTGGAATACAAATTCTGAAAGGGGAGAACAACTGTGGTTAGTTTTCTCCATCTTGCCATATATTCGTAAATAAGTGAAAATCTATGGTTAAGCTGAATTGTATTGTTTCTGGTTCTCAGAGTTCTGGGACTAAATTATGACATACAAAAATATCTTGAAAAACAAGAGCATCTGATCTTATGCTGTTAAAAAACATTGCATGTGATAGAATTTGAATGATTTCTAATTTGATTGTATTGTTGTAGCTGCTATGTACAAAAACACTGAATCAATAATTTAACAAATTAAGATAATTTAGGGAATGCTGTACATTGTGCATTCCAAAGGAGAATACATCCCCAACGAATTGTTACGTTAGTTCTTGCATTTATACTTATTTCTATTAAATCAAAAGGTAAGATATTTTAATATTTCTTTCTCTGACTTCTATTAGTCATTATGAAGTATGATGTTCAGTTAAATAAGAAATGAAGAAAATGTCAGGTAACTAACAGCAATAGCAAAATAACAGCTGTTGTACATGCAGTATTTCCTGCTTGAATTAGAACAATTTAATCATTTTCTCTGTTTATAGTAATTGGAATGTACAGTAATCATACTTGGAAAATAGCATGTGTCTGATTTTTATTTTCTTTGGCTTTTGCAGGAAATGCAAGAGAATGTGAAAAAATGCAAAAACTTTTTAGCTACTCTTATAAAACTTGCTTCTCATAATTCACCTTCTCCAGAAACGTCCCGCAATGTGAAAGCTCTGGTTCAGGATTTGTTGGTAAGTATTTAGTTACCTTTCACTAATGTTAATTATCCGTTAAACTTGTCGTTTATGCATGAGTAACATGCTGAAAACTGTTGCTATAATATAGGGAAAGGAGTTGAGCTGCATCAAAATGCAGATTTTTTGTTATTCAGTATATTTCAAAAATCTGATAAAGTAGGTTTTCTCTTATATTTTGAAAGGGGAAATACAGCAGAATATTCGGTATGGATTAATCAAAAGTAATCTTGTTTTGATAGATAATTCTTTGGTCTGTGTGGAAAATTTAAGTTAAAAAAAAAAAAAGATTTTTTTTCCTTGAGGATTCATTTTATTTTCCTCCAAACCATGACCTTTACTGAAGAAGTAAAAATCCAATTAATGTTTTAACCACAATATGAATGTAGTAATTTGCACGATGTGATTGAGAGTTTCAAGAACTGTAGGAAAAGTACTTTGCTAAGCTACTGTGTCTAAGCAGTTCTCCAGGTAGATGCCCCTGTGTGAAGCCTTAACTGAGTTAATTTCTAGAGGAAAAGCTGTCTTTCGGCTGAACAGAGCCTGTGAGCTTGGAAAAAAGGTTAACTTGAGTAGTCTTCAGGGCAACAGATATTTCGAAGTTGCATAAATGCACTGCAAACAGGTGCTACTTTGGAGTTGGACAAATGGTCAAGCTTCTTAAAAGGTATCAATCTTTGAAGAACTTGCACTCGAAAGTAGTTGATACCTATTTCTTTGAATTCATTGGCAGAAACCTGTATAGTTTAAACAACTCTTAAAATGTTTCAAGTAGGAACAATTAGGCAGTCATATTTATAATTCCAGTAAAAACTAATTTTAAGTTTTGATAACTAAGAAACAGTAACTAAATAAAGACAGCTACTTAAAATATTTTAAAATATTTTAAAGTATTTTAAAATAATGGGGCACGTGTGTAAGAAATATATTTATTTAGTGGAGGTTTGTTTTGTGGAGGTATTGGTTTGTTTCTTTTTCTCTGTCAGTCTAACAACCTGATTGTACTGGGAGTATCTGAAAAATATATCTGCATTACACAGTTCTCCTGTATTTACTACTTATTAAACTAGTAAATATATATATAATATAATCTATATTTTATAAGCTTATACATACATATATTCATAAAATAAAGGTGAATGTTTTTATATATGTATACTTTTAATATACACATAGATTTGCTTTATGTAAGCATGTACATATATTCTAATTTAAACTGGACCTTCAAAACTGTCTTTGGAATCAAATAAAGCTGTTTTCTTATTGTAAGAGCTGGCAAATTTTATAATCACTTGTCAGTTTACTTCAACAACCTCTTTTTGGATTAATATTTTTTTAAAAGAAATCAAGAATCAAGTAAGTGTGTTTGTATGTAGATACACATGTATACCATGTTTGGACATTTTTACATATGTGAACTTGTTTTCATTATCTGGAAAAACAACCAAACAACAGAACTGAATTGTTGATGGGTTTATGTGTGTGTGTATATATATATGTATGTAATTTTTTTTTCTTTTTCTATTTTTCCCCTCCAAGGATGCAAAGATTGATCCAGAAGAATTTACAGGCCGCCTTCAATCAGAACTCAAATCATCTCCTCAGCCATATCTTGTACCTTTCCTTAAGGTAATATGAATATTGTTAGATAAATTTATTTAAATGGAAAAGTTAGTTCTTTGAGTTTTAGAGAATGTTTTTTTTAAGTGGAATTAATTTCAGCTGTCTAAAGCAGGAGTACTCAATATTTACTTTGTGGTGAGGATTTCTCCAGAAATCTGCTCAGCTGAAACTTATGTAATACTCACCTTTGTCAGGTGCTGCTTATTCCCTTCCTGACTGGAGCCTTGGCTATATACTCCAGTTAGCTGCACTCAGCAGGTTAAGAGAATGGTAAGAAAATGGGATTTCCTACAGGAAGGAGATCTCCTGTTTGAGACCTTGGTTTAGGTTTAAGCAAAATTTGTGTGTGAGCTGATCTGGAGCTTATTGCTTGAGCAGCCTTGAACTAGAACAATTTATTGATCAGTTTTGATTATAAAGTTGTTACTGTTTTGTTTGGAAATTATATGTTGTTTATTCTGTAGTGTTTCTTTGCATTAAGCTTTCTGTGTAGTCCATTTCTGTAAAGTACACCATTTCCACAGGAAGAGTTACAAGGTCCATAGAATGCTTCAAACAATTAAGACTTTGTCTATATTGTTTATTGTTATCTAAGTTTGAGACATTAAGAACTTTGAATTCATGTGTAATTGCAATGATGAAAAACTGAACTGGATAATGCTATGGAAATAACTGATAAGTTGATTCTGCCTGTAATCTGCAACTTTTCATATAGAAATTCTAATGTGATTCCAGACAGATTTAGTGATCCTGTAGTAGTAAATGTAAGGGTAAAATTAACTTCTGTTTTTTTTTCCTGCATTACCTAAAATAGCTTCCATATATAGGATTAGACATGTACAAACGTAATTATGCTCTAACAAAGCCGCAACTATTGTTTTGAAAGCATTTTTCTTCTCATCCAGAAATTCTCAGTTTAGGGAAAATTCTCTCTTTTTTTTTCTCTGTTCATTTTTTCTTCAGAACTCTCTCCCCTTGCTTTTGTTTTTTTCAAGTTATCATTAACCCTTTTCTTTTTTCTGCTCTTATTCTACAATCACTTCTAGCTTGAACACAAGTTTTAACTGTTTCTTTTCTTTGAAGTCCTTTCTTGGCAACAAACATTAAATTTTAAATAAATATTAGAAATTTAGAAAGGGCTATAGCTCGAGTTAAACACTTATTTTCTACAGCTGCCTGAGGGATAGCACTTCAAAAGAATACTACTACCACTTAAAAAGTAAAAAGTTTATTTGTGAAGGTATGGTATGGCCTTTTGGAATTGTGTTTTTTGGTTGAACTGGTCTGAACATGAAGCATACAATAGTACACTTTTCTAATGCAGTCAGAATACATTAGATCAGTAGTAATACAGTAAACAACTATTGCTGTAGGGCATCAACAGTTAAATCATCTTGTTCTAGGTACTGGAGGCATGTCAGGAGAAGTAAATTGGTGCAGCTTACTTCTAGCATTAAGCAGGTTGCTGCTACTGTTGTGTCTTTTCTCTTTCCATTTTTTGCCCTTCCAGAGACCTAAGCTACAAGTTCTAGATGGTCTTGACTTGAGGAGGAGGATTATATTTTACCATAATGGTGGAATTGGGGCATGGCAGAGTCTGAAGAGTTACTAAATAAAAATTGAAAGCTTACTGAAATTATAAACTGAGCTTTCCCTCTTCTCTGTTTAGTATTACTTCTTTTTCATGAAAAAGTAGATTGTACAATTGGAAAGAAAGATGTAATCTTTTAGTTAGGTTTACAACAAATTTCAGAAGATTTTATTTTAGGCAACCTGGTAAATTTGGTATTTCATAAACTTTTTTTTCTGTTTTTAGAAAAGTCTACCTGCATTGAGACAATCGTTACTGAATAGTCAACATTCAGTTTTGCAAGGACAGCCGTCTCAGCAGTCGCTTCAACAAACCAAGCTATCACAAGTTATACCTCAATCTGCCTCTGGAAGTATTTCCTCCATTGTCACAACGCAGACAATAGGAATAAGGCAACCAAACAACATTTGCACAGTCTCTGTATCAAATACAGTGCAGCCTCCTCAGGTTAAGGTGGTACAGTCAAATCAGAGTTCTCAACTGGTAGGTACTGTAATATACAGACTGAATAGCAGTTTTTAATGTTATTTTTATTTCAATTTGTGTGGGAAATACTTTTTTTATAATAATCTACGATGTGCAGTAGCAGTTTTACAGTTGTTTACATACATGCTGAACTATTAATTTAGATTACATTATTAACATGTCTTAAATTTAAGAAAAGCCTATGTTCTTGGCCTTTTTTTTTCTGAAATATGGATGTTATGTGATCACAGTGGAATTTGAATTAATTACAGATTTAGAACAGAAAACTTAACAAGACTTATAGGCTAGAATATGATTTTTAGGTATGTTTCTTTGCTTCCTTTAGTACATTAAAATTCACTAGCTCATTTTTAACTATTCTATATGTAGCTATAAAATTTTATATCAGTAGGTTTTGTTTTCTGTACTTTTTTTTTTTACTGAAACTTATTGTGCAGGCTGGAATGTTACATGATAAGATTCATTAATTGCAGAAGCATTACCAACAGGGCAATAGTATATTCAATTATTGAGAGGATGATTAGTTTGTCTTGTTGCTGCATAAGATTTTGTGAGGGTGTGTACACTTGTAATTAAAACATGGTTAGAGTTTTTACCAAGACTCTTACAGGCGTTATCATCCTTCTAAACAAAGATGTGAGAATTTTGGTCTGTAGTTTCTATGTATAGGTGAGCAAAGTACTTGATTTAGGTTTCAAAATTAAATGAGCAAGTTCCAGAAAGTGCGTTGAGCTGGAACAATGTATATTATCTAAATTCAGAAATTCAGTTACGATGTTGTAACACCTATCCTTGAATTTATAGGCTCTATAAAGGAAATATGTTTTAGGAGGCGTGGGGGGAGAATGTTTATTTTTAATTTAAAAGTGTCAGTACACAGTTTGAAATGTGGGTCTTTTGAACCTTGCACCTTCTGACAGTTAAATTACTAAATTTAAAATGAAATTAATACAATTTTACCAGCAGTGAGCACAGTTTTAAGGTGTAACAACATCTGGTTTGGTTTTTAGACACCTTGCTTCAGCATTTGTAATACATAGAAGATGTGGATGTTTTGCACCTTAAACTGATTGCTTTCCATCCAGCCATGTGAATTTTTTTTCTGAGATGTTTTCTCTCCACCTCTTCTGGACTGTAGACTTTTTTAGCTCCTGTTTGTCTACATCTTGTAAGAATGAATTGACAGTAGCATTCATTCTTCAACGTAGGGGAAAAGGAATTGGTTTTGATTACAGGCAGTAGGTGTACAAATTACTCTCTGACCCACAGAAAGCAAATTTCTGACAGTAACTAGCAGGTTCCTTACAGGTATAAATGCTTGTGGCCAGTACGTCTAGTCTGCTCTCCTGTCACAATCCTAGGGCAAAGCCACTGCCAGCTAGCACTACGTTTTCCAGTGTTTTGCAACTCACTCTGAACACTCCTGTGACTGCAAGGCAGGCTACATTCCACCTATGAGAAACACTGATGTAGAACAAAGAAAAGTTCATGGAGATGTTCTCTTATGATTATGGCTCTTCTGGAATATTTTCTGAATTGAATAAATCCAAATTCATGTAATACAGGTCTTAACATTCACATACATTCTCTCTCTCCAGTGTGCCCATGCATACGCAAAACAAGCAATTGTGACGTTAATGGGAGTAGAGACTAACAGTGTGAAGAGTTGCTTTGTCATTCAGTGTACATATGCAATATGAGGGAATTGACAACTGCATTGAGGAAAGGGGTCGAATGGGCAAAGGAAACTTTCAGTCTTTAAAGAGCTGATAATTCTAGGAATAAATTTTAAGGTACCTGAGATGGCATTTCTATTTTCATAAGGTGGCAAACTGTGGAGCAAAATTATGCTTAATACTTCTAAAAAATATTTCATGGAGAATGAATGCATAAGAAATGAAAATTCGTCGACTTTATTGTAAAACTGGGCTTCTGTATTTGTTTTTAATTTATCAGTAACAAAACTGATTAATAGAACCAAACATTACATTAACCAAACACTTTTTAATGTCCCTCAGATTAGTTCTGTACAGACAAAAGCAGCATCAGATAATAGGAGATACTGAATAAAAAATCCTATATTCCACAACAGCCATCGGCTCATGTGCCAAGCAGACAACCCAACATCATCTCATATCACGCTAGTAATTGTTTGTAAGTATTGACTTTTTTTGTAGTGATAATGATAACACTCTTCACACTTCTTAGTGCTCCCCAAAATCAGAGTACAGCAAAGAGCTCCTGGCAATCTTGCCTGAGACTTTTCCGGAAGTGGAAGATTACAGCTGGCTTGCCGGAGGGCAGCCAGCACTGATGAAGGAAACTGGCTGAGCTCCAGACTCTCCAAGCCTGAAGCTCACTGGAGAGAGTTCCAGCTGGCTATGCAAACTGTCCAGCTGCAGAAGGGCAAGCCTGTTTTGGAATATAGATCCTCTCAAGCCAGCCAGCTACAGTATCCACTTTCATCTTAAAAAATGGATAATCTGTTAGCTGTTCATTTCTTTTGACTTTTCTGTTTTACAGAGGGGTCAGTGTTAGAGATAGTCCATGATACTTTTAGAAAGACACAATATTAATCTTTATCGTTGCATGTATTGAGTCTTTCAGAGCACCTCATCTTACAGTTTTGAATTACACTAGTGAGAATGGAGTTGTTTAAAAGCATTACTTAGGTAAGTGCTGTTTTTCTTTAAAGTCAGTGAAAAACTGCCCTTCTGCATTCAGTAGCGATCAAGGTACTCCATCTCTTAGCATTTTTTGAAAGTTCATTCAGAAGTTATTCTGATTTGTTTTTGTAAGATTCTGCTGTTTTAAAACAAGGAACACTAAATTGATGGGAAAGCAGAATTTTATTATTTCCAGAAAAATAATATGAAATGTATAAGAAGGTGTTCCAGCAGGATTGAGACATTTGAAAGTAAAGCTGCATTGTCTTCACATGTTGTTATTCATTACTAACGAAGCATCCCTGCTGATAATTTAGATAGAAATTAGCATAACGCAAAGAGCGTGTCTGTACAACTCAGCAATGTGGCTAAGATGTGTGAGCTGTTACTGTCCTGATCTGTTATACATATACAGAACCTAGAACTGTGTAAGATACTGAGATGTTACATCATAGTCATCTTCACTTTCTGCTGTACATAAGTTCTGTCCATAGGACTAGTTCACATGGCTTGTGGCTCTTCTAATCTGGTGATACTTCTCCTAGATATACTGTGGTTTCTCACAACTAGAGACTTCTCTGTCTACTGCTCAGGTTGCAATGTAGGTTGCGCAAAAGGAGACTTAATCATTAAAATCAATAGTGCTGACACAGATGAATGAGGGGATTATATTTTTCAGTTTTGTACAGTGTGCATCGTTTTCTAAAATTATGACAGATCAGTATTGTATAAGAAATAGATAATTCTATTAGAAATGGTAGCTACTACTAGCTGGGGAAATGTGGATAAGTCTTGGGCTCATATTTTATTGATGAGGCACTAATGAGATAAGCTAGCAATCAATTTTTGTAATTGTTCTAAGTGCAATGTTCAAAGTTTGTCTAAATTGTCATCCTTAGTAGGCAAAAGCTCTTTATATGTTGATATATGCAGATGTTGCCTATCTTATTTTTGGTGTTTTTGTGATTTCTGTGAATGATAGAGATTATTTTTATTTAAGTGTTGAAGCTGTAAGTAGATTGAATAATGGAGATTGATTTGCACCTTACATGTTGTGTTGTTACTATGTTTTAAGAAGTATTCCTGGAGGTTGAAGTCACTTACTAAATTTATGATAAAAAAACCCAAAGGAATTTGAAGTGATTCATCTTAATTAAAACATTTAGTTACATAATCTAATTATGTAAAGTAACATAAAGGCTGTGCAGGTCTAGTTGGAGTCTTCTAGAAGGTAAGATAGAGCAACTGAGTATGCAAAGAAAATACAGTGGCAGAATAAGCATCCTGTTATGTGGGGATGCTGTGCTTTGTTTTAAATCTCTGCTGAAGCCTTCCTGTCATCAGTTCTGGTTCTAAAGGAGTGTAATTCGTACACTTCTCAGTGTGCTCATAAGAAATGATTTTGTTCTTGTCCTGTATACAAGGCATCTTAGAAATGGAAGAGTAGAAGATGTCTATTTGGATAGAAGTAGTTTATATTAATGAACTAATAAATACCTAGCTGCAAGCTTTGAGTTTGGTGTACAAGAAAATTTATATAAAAATGTCTGATCTTTCAGTAGGAACAAAACCTATAGTTGGAAAGTTGTATGCCTGCTTGAAATACAGTTTAGTGACTTTTTAGTAGGTTGCTCTGAAAGTAATGGCTGCTATTTATTTCCATGGAAACTGCAACAGATACAAAGAGCACAGTAACAATGTTATAGCAAATTCTCACCTAAGCTATTTTTCTGATGTTGTCACCATCATCATCAGCTGTGCGTTTTTCACCAGCAGTGATCAAGAGCCTGCATGCTGTGCTTTTAAAAATCTGCACCAGTGGAGGTGACTCACTGTCACTGTTTCCACTACTGAAATGCACCACCCACCACCTCACTGTGCTCACATCCTCTATTTGGGCTCCACAAATGTCGATGAGTGTTGGTGGATGACATTTTTTTCTGCATGGAGGAATTCAATATTGATGGAAAGGCTCAACAACTACTGCCACACCAGTATCACCTTTGTCATCGTGGGCCATCATTACTTTCAGAACAGCCCTCCTACACTGGGGGGCAGGTGGGACAAGTGTTCCAATGGCTTTTGGTTTTATTTACTTCATTGCTTATTTGAAAACTCAATAGAGCAGCATTGTCATCTTAACATTAAAAATTATATGCTCCTTCAAAAAGTAAATTTTTTTTTTCTTTTTTTTTGTCTGGGAAGAAAACAGTAATCGTGTATGTAAATTTTAAGGCATTGTTGAAAAATTCTTTTACTATTACAGCATGATCAGTAATGGTAAGTATGAATTCTAGGCCCATGAAAACATGAACATTCTAAGTTAATGCTGCCAGATTACATGATAGCTGAGGTTTGATATGACATTTATCTTCAGGAGCGAGGAGACTGATAAATCACAAGTGGCATAGCCACAAGTGAGTTAGCAAGTGTTTACTCATGAGTGAAGATGTATGTCATATCAGTCCATAGCCATTCTGCATTTTGAACAAGTAGCTTATTTGTTTCTTCCTTCCACAGTGTTTTTTTTTTTTTAATTAATTGAGAGAAAAAATGCTCAGTATAAAACTTATTTTTGAAATTTATTTTTGTTCTATTCTTTGCAGAAGCTTCTGTTTCCTTTGTTGTTAGCTTTTATTGCTATATTATATGCTTATGCTTTTGGATCAGATGCTTCTGTTGCAAAGTGTTGTTTTGTGTAAATCAGATGAGATTAATTTTGCAGTTCCAGTCAAGATACAGGCTGCAGGTCAATGTGACCCTATGCATCTGCAAACAAGCACCTGGATTGTTGAAATCTGCAGAATTCCTTTCCTTGAAACCTTTAATTGTGAGCTGTAATCTGATCATTTCAAAGGAATTTTCTTTTTAATGGTTTGCATGTACTAGCATTCATTTTTATTTGGTATCTCTCATGTAGATAGAAGGGAAACAGAAGTTGCCATCTTTCTACTTCAATCTATTTTATGCACTTTGGCTCATTTCTTTCTTGGCCTATGTTCTAACCAAAAGAGTCTTGATCTGTCTTCTGTACATCTTCCCATTAGGTAGTTGGAGACAGCAGTAAGATTTCCCCTTTTGCTAAACATGAAGTAACATCTCTGGTAACCTCAATTTACTAAAAACGCCCACTTCTCTATCTTCTGTATCAGTCTAGTTTAAGATGTTGGTGCTTGTGAACTGATTCAGCACGTGAATGGGTAATGTTAGATGTGGTATGTTCATATTTTTAGGCTATGAGAAATGTAAAATTGGTGAAGTAAATCATCTCCTAGATTATCATGCCAGCACCCTGTTCATTGCTTACATTTTCCAGGCCAAATTCTGGACGAAACAATAATGTTTATGCTGTGGGGAAAATAGGCAAGAGGATTAGAACAATTTAAATTAGTGTAATTGATGAAGACTGGTTTACATTGTTTATAAATTTTCACACAGTGTAATCTACCTCTGATTCATCAGCTTTTACTATGTTCTTTGTTTATATTTGTCTGGAAAGAAAGTTGCACATTCTGTTTCAAAAACAAATTGGTAATGTTCGTTCCTTAACTGCTGCCAGATTTGAGGATCACATCTGCATTGAAATATATCATAAAAACATTAAGCTGAAATCTAAGCTCTGAGTTAAAGTGCAGTTCTCCCTTTTAGAGAATGTGCTGCTGACCAGGTTCAATATAGAGCCGAAGATGTGGAGTTTGCTCTGCACCCCATGGAAAAGTTTATTTCTCAGTCATTTTCTATTCTTCCAGCACTTTTGTGTATGCTGAGATCCTGGGATAGTCCTTGTTAATACATTCAAAATACATTCATTAATTTTATTTAATAGTAAAGATAACGTCATTATTTACATAATCTTAAATGGTTAAATACTAGCCTATCTTTAATAGTGTTAATTGACCCACTTTGTAGAGTATTTGCGTGAAAATATTAATCAAATGAAACAGAATTTGATCCTGAATTCTAGAAGTTGCTTGCGTCACAAAGAAAGAATTTATTAACAGATAGATGATTGTAATACTAGATGATACTTCTATCCACAGGTCACACACATTTCCTTTTTGGCCTGACTTTTGGCCAGTTAAAGTATGGCTGCTTTCCTTCACTATTCTCTGAAGACTCATCTAATAAAAGAAATCACCGTAGAAGTGGTGACATTCTCCTTTTCTATAAAATACCATTTTTTTTTTTTACTTTTCAGCTGTTATGTCTCCTTGAAAATATACTTGTATGTGGAAATTTTTGTGCCTGAAAATGGAGTCTAATTAAACTTTTTCCCTCTTTTTCACTTATCGTCTATGTTTTTCTCTAGTTTGAAACTTGGTAGCTCCTTTATTCTGCGTGCTGCTATTTACTCACTGCCTGTCTTGACCTAGTATGTTTAAGTCTACTTACTCCATCTCTGTGCTTACTCCAAATACTCACTTTTCCTTCAGTGTCTAGAGTTGAAACTGAATCTTTAATCTGTTTTTTTTTCCCTTTTCTCTTTTTGCAAGTTAGAAATTCTTAGTACTTCTACATCCACAGGTTTATTATGATCTCACAGCTTTTAATATTTTAGGTTGTACAGAATGCAATTTCCTTAATTGAAAATGTCCCTATTTGTTTTTTCCTCCAGATTATATTAAAATTCTTGTTGCCTCACTACTCTCCTCTCCTGTTTGTAGTTTAGACCATCTGATTTGGCAGCCCTGGTTCCTGTTGACAGAACACTTGCCTGTCTGTTCTCCAGCTCATTTTATTCTCTACTTTTACATCTCATTTGAAAATATGTGTGTATATATGTATGCGTATCTGTTATATATATGTATATATTTTTCCTTTTCTTCATAGCATACTCTGAAGTCAGAGATTTGGTCTTTCGTTGTTCAGCTAAATACTGTATTTGCATATACTTTGTAAGAGTAACATCTGGAGATGCTAAATAAAGATGCACTGTTTCCTGTTCATGTAGTGGTACATGACATTGCATGTTGTCTTCTTGGAGGTAATAATGGTGCAAGATAGCGACTTGTAATTCTGAAATTGGATGTATTATGCTATGGAACTAAAATAGTTGTGACTGTGAAGAGCACATGACTTCCAAGGTTTTTGTGGTTGTAATTTATTTGCAGCTTTCTGCCTGTGTTTTGTTTTCAAAGTTTGTTTACGGATTTTTTTTCCTGCTCTGAAGCATCCATGTTTGTTATTGAATCTTCTGTTCATTATGTCTATGTATACCTTGTCCCTTTCTTTTAGCTATCCTTAGAAATGACCCTTGCAGTGTTGTGGTTTTTTTTTTTAATTATTATTATTTTATTTTTTGTTTTAATTTATATGTGAGCCGAATTCTAAGTTCCTGACCCAGTTTTTGTTTTGGGTAAGGACCTCAGAATTTCAGTAAACAAAACCATGAGAATATCCAGTTAACATTTAAAAGACAAATAATAATCCCAGTACATTACATTCCCTTCTTGTTTACTTCTGACTTTGGAACATAATATTTTGGATTTTACTTTCAGTATGTATTTTCTTTAAAAAGCATCAGTTTATAGTGAGAGACCTAACTGCTGTAGATGTATACCAATAAAATTATTGCAGTTTTCTTCTGCAAATACTTTTCTTCCTAGTGAACTTGTGAAGACAAAAGTCTGAACTTTGATGTTTACCTCACATTTTTAATGAAGGTTGTGACATACAACATTTGTGTCAAATATTATTTTATCTTTTTTAACATAAAAGCAAAATATGTATATATACACACACACACAACCGCATGCATTACATGAATATGACTTTTGTCACTAGCTGGTTGTGCTTGTAGAGATCCATATGCTTATATTAGTAACTGCAGGTGTTAGTATGTTTACGTTGTGTGTGTTTGTGTATAAAGAGTATAATATAAGTATACTTTTTTTTAATAATAGCAGATTATCCAGTCAACATCTGCTCAAACTGTGAAACGAAACCCTGCTTGCCAGACTACCCAGATTAGGATGCCAGTGGTAATAACTCAGACCATTAGACCACAAGGTATGGGTTTAAATGTTTTAGTGAGATTGTTACCTGTGTATGAATTTCATTGTAATTACAAACTGGTAGCATGGGAAAAACTTACAGTGCTGACATTAGCAGGCTTGACACTTTTTTTTTTTTTTTTTTACTTCATACTGGCTGAGGAGTGCATGTTTTCACTGTGTAGTTTGAACATTTCAGACCTACACAGTTAACTGTTTTGAAGTTACCTTAGAACTCAACTTGCATGTGCTTAGTTCTTTACTCAGCTGTAAGGAACTTGACTTTTACTATTGCACACTGAGCCAAGAAAGAAATGCTTTGTTTTTCCTGAAGCTTCTAGAATTCCTCAATTTAATCATCCTACTTTAACCCTTGCTATTGAAGCAGAACATTATAGCTCCAGAGATCAAGATAGGAGTCGGAGAAATTTTTCAACTCACATGCTTTTTTCTGCCAGTATGCTTACTGTTTGGTGAGGTCAGAGACAGTCTGCAGCAACCTGACGTGCCAGGGGAAAAAGCGGTCTGGTGGTATACACAACTTTCTCATGGGTTTGTGCACAAGTGGGTGGATTCTGGCTGATGCATGCCACTTTTTAAGAGGATTTTTGAACCCTTCTTTTCTTAATAAATATCCTTTTGTTCCTTTCTACCACTAGTCCTTTTAGCTTTGGTATATAATTACATGGAAGAGTATTGTTTTGGATATGGGGATTTAGATGATTGAGGATTTGTAATGGAATACAGAGTTTATCATCTTGGGGTACTGAATCAGAAATCAAACTAATTTAAGTGCACATGGAAGCTATTGATGCCTGTTTAGACTTGTTTCATTTTTTTCATTTGTCTTGGGAAAAGGAAGCATTAAAAAAAAACAAAAAAAAAAAAAAAACCACACAGTAGCAGTTGAATTCTTGTTTAGTTCACTTCAGAGAATCCAAAGGCTGAATGGACAAGGAGACCAAGCTGTCAGTGTATTCCTTTTGTAGGCTGTTTTTCCAGGTTAGAAAGATACGCATTTACTTGATAGCATGACACTCGTGTTCTGAGTTTATTAACAGGAAGAGTATTCAGTGTCTCAGAGTGCAGACTTTCACTTCTGACTAATGTCTGAGAGTGAAGACTGATTTAATTTCTGTTCTTAGTATACTGTCTTAAGTTGTGAATGAGAACAGTATGTGAAAAAATTGCATAATATCAACATCACCACAAACATTGAATTCAGGTCACAAATTTAGTCATGATAGCCATTGACTGGCCAGTGAAATACAACTTAGCTGGCAGTTTGGTTAAGGAAGACAAAAATTCACAAAGGCCAATTCATGAAAAGCTATGCTTTTGAGTGAGCTTATTCCTATTTACAAGCTTGTTTTTAAGCCCACCACTCCATTGTTTTAGTTACACATGCAGAGCATTCAGGACGGAAATTTAAAAAATGTCCCATTGTGAAGACATTCTGCAGCCTGTGTCTGGGGAAAAATCTGCCTGTGTTCACAGCTCTAAGAAACGCCCATGGCATACTGCAAGATAACTGTACGTTTTGATTGTGATGTATTACTAAAATTTTCTAATGTAAACACCAGTATAATTGTGTTTTATGCTGGTTTAACTATTCCCATAGAAAAAGGTGAGATACTGGAATAGAACATTCTCTGTGTAGAAAATTACAGTAGTAAAATTTTGTGGAGTGTGATTTTTTTCAAGGATGGTTATGTCAGAATTGGTCTGACTTCACAGAGCGCTGCATTTTACATTAATATTAATGCATCTGTGTGAACAAACTATAATTTTGAAAGCATTACAGTATAGGTAGATGGCAGACTCTAATAACTGTTGCATTAGTAAATGGCATCCATGCCCAGGGAAGTAACATTATAATTATTTAAGGAAAAAGTCACACTCTTTTATCAAAACAGTTATCAGTACAAAATGTCTGTGAATTGAATCTTTCAGATGGAGGAAAGGAGCCAAAGAGTAAAATAATTAGCCGTAATATTCATTGCAGCTATTTAACCTATGCAAAGACAGAACTACGAACTTAGGAGCTCCAAAATGTGGGTTTATTTCTCAGAATTGTGCTACTTGAAATTTGAAGCAAGGATACAGTGTTGATAGACTCTGTATGTCATTACCAATCTCGTGAAAAATCTAGGCCCACAGGTGATTTTAATTTAATTAAATATGCTATAGTGTAAATTGTTAGTTGAGCTATAATTTTGTTTAACTCCTTAATCACACGTGGTTGTGATTTAAACTGTAAGATTTGTGTCACCCCCAAACTTACATTAATTTTGTCAGATACATTTGAACAGAATTATGTAATAGGATGAAAGAAAGTGAGACATTTTTAAAATTTCCAATGTAGTCATACAGTTTTCCTCCAACCAACAATTTAATTGCTCTGTTGTTGTATGTTTTCCTTAATTTTGGGGGTCAAAAGTTATAATTTGTGGAAAAGAAAATGCTGATGTTAGCCGCAAAGGAATATAGTGTTTATTCTGGAGAAGTAACACTGTTCCCTTACTTCAGCCAATGCAATAATTTCCAAGGCTAACACACTCAAAGCTCGCTGATGAAAGCAGAGATTGCTCATTTTTATTAATATATAATTTCTTTTTTTTTAATTCACTTAGTAAAAACCTTTCAATCAGTTAATCTGAAATAGATAAATGGACCAGGCCATGAAATGATGCTATCTGTGACATCTCACAGACCTTGAATTTTCTGATGACAAAGTACTTTTATTCCCTAGGCTTAGAACTCAGTCATGAATCTAGTTTTGTATTTGCTAATGTTGAGGGTTCAAGCAAAAATATTTTATCTTGATTGAATAACTGAATGAACACTGTCAATTAAGTTTTGCTCTCAGAGCATTCATTATACTAGATGAAGACTTGCAAAGAAAATGAGGAATACAGGGCTCATGTACGGCTAGTGCTTCTGTTTCAGCTAAGAAATGCTTTAAAGGATTTATTGTGATAGATGTGATTTCAGAATTTCTGTGGTTTTCAGAATTCATCAGAGAAGAATAGCTTATTTCTGCTAAGGTTCATACCATGCCGTTTTTAGACAGGTGATCCGTAGATGTGCAGGAAGAACTTTCATGTACTTCTCAGTCTTAAATACTACAGTTTGTAACTAAATACAATTGAATGATATACAAAACAAAAAAAAAAAAAGTAAGATCTCTTTAAGTCAAATAGACACATGACTTCATTACTTTCACATGTCAACATACAAGTAGGGTTAAAAGAAATGGACAAAATGTAACTGAGCTAAGCATGTCTTAAAATCTTAAATATTAAAGGAAGACATAGTAAGTCTTCTTCATTTATCATTACTTTTTGAGTCTAATAGTGTTCCGATGTTTTCTAATGACAGTTAAGTATGTTCACTGATTTACCGATTCGCAACATAAACATAATTATTTTTTATTAGATTTTCCAAATGTCAGGCAGGAATTAATATCTTTTTTTTTTTAATTTGGTTGCACAACAAGCTCAATGTACACCACAATTTGGCTCAGTTAGAAATCCCATTTTTTGCATAGAGAGACTTATAAAGTCTATACATCTAGAAACGGATGTATATTACATATAAAAAAGCATTTTCAAAATAAGAGAGTAAAAGAAGACCTTTATGAGGGAGTGCATGTCAAATTTTAAAATGGTATGGGGTCTTTTACATACAGTATAAATATCTTAAAATACTTAAAGGAACATTTTGAACTCAGCAACACATCAAAAATGACTGCGTAAGAAAATGTAAAAGGCGCAGTTAATACCTGGAGTGACTGACTTAACACATCAATATTAAGAACATTTGAAATTATGTTTCTATATGTTGTACAGAATATAAAGAAAAATGGTTCACTGGCAATTGCAAACACACAACCTTTGTGTGTATTGTAACCAACATTGGCCAACGGTTTTCATGTAAGGAGGATCTTCAGTATTCTGTAAATATAGAACAAACTGTAATGTTAATATAAATTTTCTGTCTAAAGTTGTTCTTCTTCAGCAGTGTAATCTTTAAAAATAATAACTTCCTTTGTTTGCAATTTACAGACAGTTAAATTTAGTTCCTGGACAGAAGGTTCTTTGATGTAAATTGTCTAAGACAGCTCATAATAACATCGCTTGGTGTTTTTCAGGCACAGTAGGGAAGGCACCAACAATACAAGCCAGCAAAAGTCCTGGGGGCTTTGGTGTTCAGGTCTCTGCAAATCAGAAAAACAAGCTGAATGACCCTGGAGGTGGTTCTTTCAGGTAAAAAAAAAAAAAAAAGAAAAAAAAAAAGATTGCAGGAGGGTGGCTGGAGGGGGGGGTCTTAAATGTAAAATTCAGAATTGGTGTAACACCAGAGGGCAGTGTTTTACAATAATTTCTGGCTTTCTTATTATGATTGGATGATAATTTTCTTATTTAGTTGTATTGGAAAAAGAAAATAAAAAGGAGTGGTGGGACATGTCTTGAAAATTTTCCTCTGAATACACTTTGGAATGTTTAATAAAACCTTCACTTTTGTGGATTTCAATAAAAATTCTGGCAAATGGAATTGTGCGTATGAAGCTTTAAAAAATGCTCTACTGCTTTTATGTATGAGATTTGAATGTTCATATGGAATATATCTTGCTGAGAAGATGCTAATTGTAATGACAATGCATCCTGTTGATAGATGACTGCTATGCTGCAGCCATCTCGACGTAAGCATACCACAAACACTTTTGTTCTTGCTAGTGCGTTTTCTATGCGTATGTGTACTTTCAAGAGAAAAGAAAGCATTGGCTGCTTTTGTGGGAGAGATTACGGTGTTCTGTGAGTTTCTATAGTAATTTGGTGCTGCAAAGTTCAGCACAGGAGCACTGGTGCACTGAGCTGCTATTTGCAGTTCGTTTGTACTGCAAACTTCTGTGTTTGGTTGTGGTTTTTTTCAGTGTTTTGGATATGTTAGCTGTTTGTAGTGAAATAGTGGTCTTCCATTTATTGCATTTTGATTTGTCTTTTTTTTTTTTTCCCCACTGATGGGAGTACATTTAATGTGCATCTTCTTCTTCCTATTTCTTTGCTAAATGACAAAATAATCCAGAAGGAAATGAAAATCCAGGAATTCTTATGCTGCTCTCTGATGTCATGAAACCAGTAATTAATTTTGCAGGCTTAGACTTTTTCAGGTGCAATAAAAGATTTTGTAGCTCTTAGTGAAATATCTCTGCTTTGAGGCATGTCAGTATTGCAACTAATAATGGTAGTACTTAGTATTAATCTAGAAGCAAAATCATTCAATTTTTTATTTTCCAATGCTTTTGACTCCCACTGAGTATTTAAATGATTTAAAATGTCTTATGGGTTCAATTGTACTGTCTTAATAAGTATTTTTTATGTTTGTAAGCAACATGAGCATTTATTCTTCGTTAGTATAGCTTTCAATTTTACATACACCAAAAGGGACAGCATTTTTTTAACTGAATGTTGTAAACTGTGCCAGGATTGATTCTTGCATTCACTTAGTTTATACATAGAATATATTAGGTTAGTTGGAATTGTTAATTTTCCCTTGGGGAGAAGCAAATGCTCAAGGCACTGATTGATAAATCAATAAATCTTTAGTGAGTTTGGTAAATAAGCTGTCAAGGGTGTATGTCATTTTTCCTCTGGAGAACAAATTTTAGTCAGAATGAATGTGTTTGTTTCCTTGCATTGTTTTCTCCTTCAAAATAGTAAGACACAATACTGCATTTAAATAAGTCCATAAAATTGCAGGGATTTATTAAACAGCAGCAAAGATCAAGCTTTTCCTTGATATCTTAACAAAGAATTCAGTTGTTTGCATATTTGCATTTCAACCCCTAACCTTTCCTGAGGACAAATAGATGTCTGACTATTAAGCCTAAAGGCACAGAGCTGGAAATCTGTATTAATCCTCTGAATGCTGACTAGTTTTCCTCAACATTCCCAGCGTGTGTGAAGAATGTGTTTTTAGCCAGAAGGCAAACTGGCATCTAAAGCAAAGCAAGAATTTTGAAAAATAGTTGTGTTATGTATAAATTTATTTTGCCCTCAGTGTTTCATTATTGCATATTTGTTTCATTATTCTGTATTCTACTTTTTTATTTCTACTCTTGTGAGGAAGGTGTTGGTCACTAGAAGTGGAAATGTGAACTTGGCTATTTTTGGTTTCTTGTAGTCATACACATTTTTAAACTTATGGTATTGTTCTAGACTGAGAAACAGTGGAAGGAATTATATGAGAGATGTAGCAATTAGAAATGTCACAAATTACAGCTTAGCCTCTAATGTCAGCATTAATTAATTAATTGTAAGGTTGCTTATACGAGTTCACCAGATATTGTGGTAGCTGCTCTATGACATACGGTCTTCAGCTTCTACACTTCAAAGATGATGTAAATCTGAAATCTTACGTCACCTTTTTTGATATTAAAAATTATTGTTGCTACATTTTAAAGTAGAAAATACAGACCATTCAATTTAGTTGACTTTTCTACTACATAAATAAATGGAAATTGGAATTCCATTCTTTGTAATATTTTTTTCTCTTATAGTAAATATCCAGTCTTATATTTGTACCATAATAAAGAGCAAGTAGAGGAGAAATGAAGCAGACGGCCTCTTGAAGTCTGCATGGGGCCTGCATATTGTGCTGCAGCTGCTGTGTGCATCACCAGTCTCATTTAGAAACATTAGAGCTTCCACCAACGTTACGTACTACAGAAGACAATGAAAATAGCATGCTCTTGAAGTAGTTATTACCTGCAGTTCAGTTTGTGGCCAATATGAAGAAAAGGTGGAAGCATTTGTTTCCCCTGAAATTAAGTCAAAATCATTTTAGTTGGAAGGGATGTTGGTGGTCAGCTACTCCAGCTTCTGAGTCAGAGCAGTTTGGTTACACCAGGAACTTGCCCAGTTCTGCCTGTCTACAAGGACAGAGGCATGCATTTGTACTCCTGTATTGCCCTATCACTTCCTAACAGACCTGAGTAAAGCTCAAAGGTATTGTACTTAAAATTGGGCAAGAAGTGGCAGAACCATTCCTTTAATGTGAGTGATGATGATGGTTTGCCTGAGTGTGCCAGTTAGGCTGATGCTCCTTCCTTTTCACAGGAACCTTGCTATTTCTGAGACAGTATTATGAAGTTGTATATGACCTTTTGGAGCCTGTAATTCTCTGCAACCTCAGTGATGTTGGGTTTTTTTTGTTTGTTTGTTTTTTGTTTATTTAAGAATTCATGCCATGAAATGACCGGTGCCATCTGAACCTTATCTTTGTATTTATATTTTATATTGCTGAGTGGCCATGTTTTGAAATAGAGTATACCATGGAGTAAATAATCAACTGTATTTCAGCCTTCTTTTGTCTGCCCAGAAGACATGCATTCTGAATCAGATAACTGTTACTGCCTCTTTAGTTTATTTAAATAAAAGTTTAATAACATAATTTTGGCAAAATACCTTAAAAGGCTTGACGATATATCTGATAAATCACCAAGCACTGTGGTGTTTTGGGAAAGGTAGAAGACTAATGCAGGTTTTAAGTGGATAACTTCACCTCAGAATGGTATACTTAAAATCTTAAGCTGTAATTTTAAGTTTCTTTATTTTTTTTCCATATCAACGTTTCAGGCTCTGAGATGAGCTTGTATTTTTTCCACATTTGTCAAAATAAAATAAAGCGCTGATCACAAATGTAATGTGTTCTGTCATCCTTTTTTCTTGTCGTTGGTAAAATCCAACATAGACTTCATGGATGAATTGTATGGTAAAGCACTGATAGAGACAAATCTCAAAATTAAACCTATGAAAGTTAGAATAAGCATTGTAATAGAATTTGCATCAGCAAAACTGATACTATTTTAAAATGTAATACAGTAGTGGCTGTTGCTGTAATTTCAAGTGACAGATTCCATCCAGTGTTGTAGCTGATCTCTGCTCAGCTAATATGTAGACTTAGTGTCTTGCATATGTGCATGGACTGCTATAAAAACATGAAATTTTACTTTGGAAAAAGTGATGAATCAGTGGCATGTGCTATCTCAACTGTTCAATGTATTATTTTATATTATTTTATTTTACGTAATTTATTTGGGAATAGTTCAGTAATGGAGATTTGGACATCATGAGCTCAAATCTTAAAAAGTGTGTGAGGAAAAGTGTTACTACGCACTCACACATTCAAGATTTATTCAAAAGTAAAATGCCTCCAGATTTTCTTAATGTCTTGTCTTAATTTAAATAAAATCTTTAAAGTATGTTATAGAAAAATGTGCGAATACTTCATTTTTTCTTTCTGAACATTATTTTCAAGGAGGTGCTTTTTGTAGTTGCATGAGTGTTTTTCATCAATAAGAGGGGGAGAGGAGGTGTTGAAAAAGGTTAAATGTAGGATTTAGAAATGTACCTTGCATTTGAAAACAGCTTGAAAACCCATGCTAAAAATAGCGTGCGTATTCGGTTATTGGATTTATCTAATAAGGCTCAGATTTTAGCTCAGTAAAACCAGAAGTAATTAACATAAGTACAGTCATTTCTGCCAGGAAACATGAATTTGTTAAATAATGTGCCAGGATGAATGAGAAAAGATAGACAGTAATCATCAATCTAGTCAACCACTGGATGGCATCTTTGTTCCACAGAATGACTTTTGAAGACACGTGGAGTTAGAAGTTGACTTTTGAAGGAAATGGTATGGCAAAAATGCTAGCTCTCTTTTGTATACAGATGTGTTTATGTCAGTATCCAAAACCAAGTTCTCTTTTGTGTTGAAGTTCCTCAAAGTAGAAAAGGATATTGATAGAAATTTTACCATCAGACTGGAAAATCTGTATTGCTAATCATGGTTAATGAAAATATTTAACATCTATCTTCTTTCTGATATAATATAAAAACAAATGTACTTGGTGGTAGTAAATTGCTCATGCAAGTTGACAGGAAATAATTCTGTCCAGGAGTTACTTTGGTAGTCTTCTTTGTAAGTGCTATTGTGCTGATTTTGATAATTTCTATAAATTCCTATTTTGTGCTCAAATAAAAAAGGGAATTGCCTTTCTGATACTGCCTACCAAAAAGAAAAGGTAAAACTTGAATCTCAGGATAATCAAAGTAGAAATTTAAAAAGACAAAAAAAAAATAAAATAAAATAAAAAAGCTCTGTGAAAAGTGAGAGTATCCTCAGGAATTTCACTTTGGAGAAGAAATGAAGGTCTTAGCCCTTGTGAAAAATAACAAAAGCAGACTTGTGCAAGTAACAAACTTTTTCTGACAATCATTGTAAAATTTGCCATTTTCAGTCTCAAGTATTCAGCATATTTCTCCAGGCTTATACAGGCAAAAATCCCTTCTTCTTCCTTCAAAAGAAAGCAAAACCAATATCTTAACAAACTATCAAAGTCTTCCAAGAAAATTGGGTACTCTGAGCAAGATATCTAGAAGAGTATGGGGGACAGGGATGACATGGATTTCTAGATTCCTCTCCTTACTTTTGTTCTTAATCCTTACTTGTAGTTTTGTTTTTTACTGTGGCATTACATGTTTTAGCACGTGAAACTAAGTATTCTAGTGCATGTAGAGAGCCATGTATGTATGTTTTTATATAAATCTTTTAAATTAAACTTTTGCTTGTTTTATGCAGTAGAAGTCTGAAGTTGGATGTACGTGGATTTTTTCCATATGTATATTCTCAACAGTTGTGTAGTCATTCCTAGAATACACTCAAATACAGTGTCTGTGTCACAAATAGCTCCTAAACAGAAAGTGCTGAAAACAGATGGTTTGTTTCCACAGTTATGAACCATCTCTTATAGAGGTAGGACATAACAGATGCTTGGGAGATACCGGTATGATCTGTCTTCTGAAACTCAAATTTGTCAGTTAGTCCTTCGTCAAGCTGTTAGGGAAGGGTATTGCAGAGCAAACAGTGGCTTGGGAAATGCTGCTATCATCGTCTGAAATGCAGCTCATTTTTCTAAAACTAGATGACATGTTCAACTGTTTTTGTATGTTGCTGGGGAAAACAGTTTGCATAGTTAAATGATGCTTCGAAACCAAACTTACCTGTGAGTTCGTTGTTACTCACAAATGAAGAAAAGGCAGCTCCATCACTCTAGACAAATGGCCCTGCTTGTGAGGACTTCTGAATGTGATCAAGAAATAGTCAATTCTGAATCTAGAATATGTAGTGTGAGAATTGAGACCGCGGCAGTTGTGACTTAAGTTGCCCCAGACAGCAAGCCTATTGCGTGCTCTGGAGTTAGTTTGTATGTATTAATTGAATGTTTCAAATGCAGAACTATTTTTTATTTGTATTTTCATTATAGAGATGATGATGACATCAATGATGTTGCCTCTATGGCTGGTGTTAATCTGAATGAAGAAAGTGCCCGAATTATGGCTACCAACTCTGACTTGGTTGGAACCCAGATACAGTCGTGTAAAGATGAACCCTTTCTTGCTGCTATACCTCTACATAAACGCATACTTGAAATGGGTGAGAAACACGTCCTCTCTTTTTGGTATTCTTCATTATATAGTTCTGAGTAACAGAATATGCTTAGCACTTAAAATTGTTATAAATAAGAGAGCTTATGCCTTTTATTACATAATCTTGTATTGTTGAACTTTCAAGGTTTTTTTGATAGAAGTAACTGAGTTATACCAAATGGGAAAAAAAATGTTGTATAGGTCCTTTCATATTTCATACTTTCCCCATGTTTTTTTATATCCAAGGATCTCAAAGCTCTTTGCAAACATTAATTATTTCTCACAATCCTTCATGTTTTACACATGAGAATGTTGAAACAGAGAGGTAAATTAAGTAGTTCAGGTCACAGAGGACACCTGTGAATAAGATGTAACAGATTGCTGAAGTTACCTGTCAAAGTTTTTTTTCCTCATGCAAACCAATAATTCAGTTCTTAACACTTGCATCTATTTAAGTTCACAGTGATTTTCTTGTAGTATTTTTCCAAAAGGTTTATTTATTTATTCTGTCATTTGAGAATGAATGTCATAAATTTCAGTAGAAAAAATAATTAGTCAAAATTCGTAATGCTTTAAGGTTATTAGGCATGCTCATTATGTATTTTATTTTACATACATAATTAATATATTGTATATGATCTGTTACCTAAATGTGTCATTTCACTGTAATTTTTGATAATGTTTTCAGGTACATCAAAGTCTTAAGCTACAGAGCTCCAAGTGCATAGAAGCTTTTTTTTTTATTTTATTTTTTAAGAAGTCTCATAAATTTGTGAAAATCTGTAGGGAATCATTGTCCTCGTAGGATATTTCTGAAATATTGCATTTATGTTCATTGATTTAATGAAAGCCTTTTCATGTTGCAATTACAGCAAGTTTCTCCATTAATTTACTACTGAGCTTCACTTTTGTGTTATAATTAGTTGAAACCATTCTGAGAAATGAATTTTGCATGTTTTAGTTATCATGTTGAAATGATATGACGATTACATTATGTGATGCAGTGTGGGAAAGCATATGTGCAATATGTTGTGAGGTGGCTTATTGCCAGCTGAGATGGGAAGGCAGAAGGATTGTCGTGAAATTTGTTTGAGAAAGTGTTGTGAAGGATGCTCATATAATGCATTATACAGGTGTTAGAAAACAAAAAGGGAATGGAGACCGTTAAAAAGAATGGGAAATCAGTAATAAATTTGCCATATAATCCTTAATGAACTGTCTGGGCGTAACAATTGCTGCACAACATGGAGCTGTAATTACAAGTGCAGGACTTGCAGGAATCTGTACGTTAAGAACCACAGAACCCATCACTCTATTCATCACTGCCTTTGGGGGTTTGCTCCTCTGAGGAGCAAATCCCTATGGCTGTTTTTGAAGCTTTATTGGCTTTGATAATTGAAATGAAACTTTCAATGCTTTTAAAAGCAGCTGCAGGGATTTACTTCTCAAAAGCAATGAATCCAAAAGAGCGGCCACTCCTAGTGATCTCCTGCAGCCACTTTTAGAGCTTTATTTTGTCTTTATATGAAGCCTTTTATAGTTTTGAAAGTGTCTGTGGGGTTCACTAGTGGCTACTATCTGGGATCTATGGCTCTTGAGAAGAGAATTCCTTCAGCTGATTTTTGAAGTTTTAGAAGCTTGGTTTTCACTGTGTGTGGCCAGATTTGTTGATTGCCTGGGACCACACAAATTTAGCAGTATGCGCTACTGGGCACTTAAAATAATGACATTGTAAGATCATGATGAAACTCAGTCCTACCATGTGTTGCTGTGCCTAGACACACCAGGATCAAGCACAGGAGGCTGTGTGACCTTCTCAGGCACATTAGGAAAAGAAAGTGTCTTATGTGAGTCCTCATTCTTCTGTTTTTGTTATGCCTGTTGACAAATGAGATAAAATGCATCTTCTTCCTTTAACCCGAGTATGACTTAAATAGACCTTATTTTCTACCTTTAAATCTATTCATATTTAATGATCACTTTAGTTTTAGGGCATGTTTTTAATGTTTTAGTAAAAGAGAGATTTGTGGTATGTACAGTATTAGGAAACTGCTCTTCTCTCCCTTTTTAGAAGCTAGATCTTTCAAGTTTTCTCTCATACTAATTTCTTCTTCTCTTTTCCGAGTAAGAGTTCTGTCGAGCAACTCAGTAGTGTTCCCCAAAGGCTGTTTCAGAGATTGTGCTTCCATTCACTAGAGTCAGAATATAAACTGCTAAAGCGAGAGCAGATGCTTCTCAGTCTTTGAGAGTAACCACCAGCCAAATGCCTCAAAGTTATAGTGAAAGAGATTTCTTAATCTATTGTATGTTCTTACCTGTACTGCTCAACTTGGCAATGTTATCATCCAAAGTTTATATTAAATCTAAATGAGCAATATTATTATTGATCTGTCTAAATGGAGGAAGTAACTGAAAGGTAGTTCATGTAAAAATATTCATCCACTTTCCACATGCTTCCTTATCCAGTTTGATATCTAGTTGTCTTTGTCTGGTAATCATTGCCATTTGTTATTGTAGGAAGACAGCATTGTGACTGTTTCAGTTTCCTCTGTGTGAAACCAAGAGTGGGTATTTCTGAGCAGATAATGTGTGTCTTTTGCTATTCCATACAGGATCATAAAAATTTAAACCCAGATCTTTCTGTATGACAGAACACCACAATGAAAAACATGCAGAGAGCTGTAAGACTGTTGTTTCTTTTGGCAAGTTCAGAGGCAGAGACTGCTCTTCATGCTTGTGCTGATGTGCATGTAAACTTCAAAAACTTTCTAGGCCTTTAACTCCGTTAGTAAAGTGAGTGGGTAAGATAAGCTGAATAGTGCTGAAAAATCCTAGCTATTTTGGTTTTTTGTTGGTTTTGTTTGTTTGTTTGTTGTGGAAAAGAAACAAGAAAAATAATTTTGTAGATGTTTCACTTCTTGATTCAATTCAATCACAAGCTATTTCTTCATGGGTAAGAATGCTGGATTGTTTTATTAGGTTTTTGAAGCTAGTTTTAGGCATTGAGTCTTCACTATTTACCAGAAGGGGCAACACTTCAATTAATAAGACGCTATGGTGCAGCAGGTTGTTTTAAGAGTGAAACTGTGGTTTGTAAATGTGTTGTGAAAATAGAAACTCCTTGATTTAAGAGTTACTGTAATAATAGCATTGTTCCCAAGACTCATCAGATAAGAATTAGACTATACTGTATTTTTAATACAGTGAACGTTATCAGGACATAAGAATGGGATAAAAAGGTGGTCCTATGTATTTATGTGTGGTAACTAAGTCCATGGAAAGGAACATATATAGAAGAGAAAGGGGGAAAAATACTGTGAAACATTAACAAACAATAGCTAAGAATTGTATTTAAATAATAACTGTATACAGTGAGAATTAAATTATCAGCCTAATACCTAAATAACAGTCATTAACCTTATTCTTTACCAGACTGTGGTGAGTCTATTCTGGATACCTTGTAGCAGTTCATGTTTGACTGTTTTGTTGTTTTGTTCGTTTGTGTTTGGTTTTAACAAGGTGGGACTTTTTCATAGTGCAGTACATTTTGTGTAGAAGCCCTTGTGAATGTCTTGTTGGTATCACCCAGCACGGTACAGTGGGATGAAGTTTACTTTTCTTATGCAGGTTACTTTTAAAAATTTCCACTCATTACAATGATATGAGAAGTCATTTTACTGAGAAGTGGTGGTCCCTAGACCTCTGCTAGCAGTTCCAAAAATTTGCTTGTGGTCACCAGAGCATAATATCCCTCATAAGCTTAGAGCTTGCAGAATATTAGCTCCCACAGCAGTATTTGAGTTCTTACATCCTCTCCAACCAGATTATGCCATTTTGCTTTTTCCATGGCTATCCCTGGAATGTCATGTAACAAGAAGGAGACTCTTAACCATAAATTAACTGTATGAAAGCAATAATAATAAAACATAATTTTGGCATATTGTGCTCCCTGAGTTAGTTTCTTTCCTTCTCTTTTTCACATCAACTTCACTGTTCTTCACCCAATCTTTCTATTTCAGTGTGTGTTGTTACAGAGCTCTGGCTAAATAGAATAATTACAAATGTGAATAATTACAAATTGTAAGAAGTGTGGGACTGATTTGGCCATATTTAATCCATTTTAAGTGTCCATCTTGTATTTCTAAACTATTTTTACCTGCATGTGTGATAAAAATGCATTGAAGAATTACAAATATTTTTTATTTCACATTGATTCATAGTTATTTTTATATCTTCATTAAGAAATCAATTTTTCTGTAACATGTTTTTATTAAGTTCTTGATTTATGTCTTTAAGCAAGTATTGTTATCTATTTCCTTTTAAAAGTCTATTACATTGGCAAATTAGCATACACCTCTGACATTTCCTATCAATAATTAGTACTGGATTCTCTTGCTTTGTCCAAATAGATTTTTAGTCAAGAACACGTGTAGTGGTGCAGGTGAATTATTATGAAACTTGTAAATGCACTGTTGAATCCAAATGCTCCTAGATCAGAAGAGGTCTACAGTCATTCATAAAATGGCCTCAGAGCAGTTCAGCTTTATAGATTTAAGCCACTCTGTCAGTGTAGTAGTTGTAGGGTTAGATTCAGCGTAATACATAGATTTACCTATTTGTTATTTTATTGGCAATGTATTTTTAGTTGTCTAATGACATGTTGATTGTTGTTCTGTTTGTTTCTTTGTTCAGTTACATTTGAATTACATGTCTGCGAAAGAAATGTATGCTAAAACATAAGCAAATAGCTTATCTGTCTTTCTGTATTCTGTAGTATATTGAATCTATTTTGTGACATCATAGTGGCAACCGAGTTGTATGCACTTGTATATATTTTAAATTATTTTATACTCTGGAGGGCATTTTTTTACTGTTAAACAACCTAAAAACTGATTTGTAATATCCTTCATGGAACCAGGCCAGTAGATTTCAGAGCCTTTGTTTAAAGCATTTGTTACTAGTTTAATAATAGAGTCATTCTGTCATCCGTTTCATCTGTTTATTTGT